TTGTGTTGTGTTTGGCTTTTGTGGTTTTCGGGGTTTTCGGGTTTTCAGCTTTTCGGTTTTGTTGTCGGCGCTTTTCGCGAGAGACCGCCAAAAAGTCGCCAAGGCATAATTAATCATGCACCAACATTCTTTCTGGGCTTAGAGTTCCGCTGTGTTACCTTTTTTTTTGTTTTTCATCCAGTGGCCTGGCTCTTTCGGCCAGGCTAACTGAACTAAAACGCAGTTACCCCGTCTCCGAGCTGAGCGCAAAAACAAAAGCAGAGTGGCCATAGCTAGGAGTGATATTAACATATCATTATGATAGCCATTAGCACTTTTAATTGATGAGTTTTTGCTGCCGTTGCCGTTCTTCTCCTTACTTCTCTTCTGTTCAGACAGTCAGTCAGTCAGTCCATTCCTCCGGAGCTGCCGCTCCATCACTGCACTGTTGCCAATCATTTGTCAATGGCATGGCCTGGCTCAAAAGACAGGGCCCGACGCGACGCGACGCGACGCGACGGAGCGGTGCCCAGAACGATGGCTGAAGATGGCCGCAGGTCGTGAATACCGAAACTCTCAATCGAGAATCGAGAATTGAGAACTGAAAACTTTAGAATGGGAATTTTCGCTGTTTTCGAATCCGCAAAGGTCAGCTGGGGCTGGGGCTGGTGCTGGTGCTAGGGGGGGCAGAGCAACAGTGAATGGGTTGTATGGGTGATGGAGTTGTCTAGATCTCGCTTCGAATCACGCGCAAACAGTTTGTTTCAGAACAGTAAGACTGCCCCAGAAACAGTTCTAAGGCTCTTAATATAGATCTAATATAATTCCAATTGAAGTCAGGCCAGAATCTAGTACAACAGACTCTTGGAGTTGTCATTGCTGCTGCCTTACAGTTTCGAAACGCGCTGTAGTACAAATGTAGAAAGTTTTTGCATCGGACCCACCACGACGATGTTCTTTATTTGCTACCCCAAAAGATGCTGAAATTGATACGGATCTGTTCCGCATCTATTCGATCCGGTATTGGTTAGTTTGGTGTCTCCGACTTGAGCTCTTTCGAGTATTTTCGAGTTCATTGATGAATCTTGGCATGAGTTTGGGGCTAATGGATAATGGATACGTCGTGCGGCTCCACTCGGACAGAGTTCATTATGATTTCCTGAGCGCATCAATTAGTGAATGAGGGGAGGGGGGTGAAAATAGTATCGAACAATTAACTGATTTGGCACCTTTCCCTTAATGGGAATGTTTTTGGCGAAGAGCCGACACATTTGATGGCTTGGCTTCCATTTCTTTTGGCATTTTGGCATTTGATGAATCACATTTGCTGTGCCATGGGGCATGGGGCATGTGGCATGATGTTGCATGTGGATACATGGATTCCTGAAATTCTTTTGAAGTTGCTGCGGAACATGCAATTAAACAAATGTCTAGAGCAGAAGTACCGTTAGGGGTGCTCGCTCTCCTAGCGCAACTCCACCGAATAAGCATGCCCCAGAGCTGAAGACCGCAGCCCAGTCCCTCTTCAAAGGGTTTCTTCCAAACACGCCTTCTAAGCTCTGCTCGGCGGCTCTCTGGCACATGTTGGACACAAGACACAAGTGGTCGTCAGCCCCGCCTCCAGACGCCAATTATGCGGAGAGGCCCAGCTCAAGGATGCAGGACTGGACAGGATGTGTGCGCTAGAAGCCGACGGCGGCAACCCAAAAGACAGCAAAATCCAAAGAAATCAACAGCAAAAGCGAAAGTTTGCCTAAGACTTGGGCCGAAACCGAAGCCTGCCCGGCGGCCTTAACGGAAATGGAAATGATCAGAGCGGCCAGGAGGAGGATGCTCGAAGGGGGGACGTTGGGGGGATCAGGCCCGGCGAGGCAGAGAGGCAGCGAGGCAGCGAGGCAGCAGCGAAGCAATTAGGCAGCGCCTCTTGGACGTGAGCATTAAATTTTGAGCCGAAAGTGGCAGATACATCAAAAGTGAACGCAATCCATCATGTTGCGAATCACGCCGTGATGAGAGCAGCGCCGACAAGTCCCCCCATCCAGAGATCCATCCTTTATGATGATGACCAAAGAGAGCTGTCTGGAGCTGGCGCGTTCGCAGCACGAGCTAAAAGACTTCAAATGCAGCAAACCGTTAGATAATCCGGCTAGAGTGCGGGAACCGGGGACGGAGCCCTGGTCAAGGTCGTAATTAATTGGATACAGATACTACAGAATGTTTCTGGTGCGGCCTGATCTACTTCTGAGGCACCACAGTCGAAGCGGCGAAGGGCAATTAAAACAATTACGATTACCTGGGGACTGCGAATGGGACTCTGTCTGGTTCGGTTCTGTTCGGTTCTGTTCTGTTCTGTTACTGTTTTCTCTTCAGATCCAACTGTCTGAGATGGCTTTTCGCTGGAACCGCACGCCCATTAGCGACAATCAATCTCGGCCACGCTGCAACGGCTATGATAACATAAAAGCCACGACACACACACTCGTATGCATATAAAAAACGTTTTCTGCGCTTGTTTTGGTCTTATATTTTGCCGCGATTTGTAGTTTTATTTTTTCTCCCCTTTCGGTTTTTTTGTTATTATTATTTACGAATGCCACTTGCCAGATAACCCATAATTATGAAATTATTATTGGAGCGCCAAGCTTTGGCTGCTGTCCCGGCAGCCGCCACAGCCAAGAAATCTCAGAGTATCTCTGTATCTGTAGCTTTTGCGCCAAATTCTGTGTGCCGTCGGAAAAGCACAAAATCATTCGGCTGCGGCACAGGAAGTTTTGTTCACCCTCGGGCCGTGGAAGTTGCAAATGAAATACAAAAAAAACAGAGACTCGACTCCAAAAACTGTTCCATGTTCTTCTTCCACCTTTCGATTTTCATATTCGATGATGAAATTGAGATACCAACTGAAAATAAATAAAATTTAGCTGGTCGTTTACCTCTCCTGTTAAAGTTTAAGTCCTCCCTCGAAAGAGCCCGAAATGAGGCAGCAGCCACAATTTATATGCAAAACCGCCGCGGGAGGCACTGCCAAACGGCAAACAAACAAAATGTCCTGTCCAAAATGCAGCAGGGAAAAATTAAACAAATGTTGGGCGTTCTAGGACTGCGACTGGGGGAATTTTTGAATATTTATGAAATGCCAAGGGGAATCCTCCGCCATCAGGTCCCGGCGATCAGCGCGATCCTGTGTCCTGTAGACTCCAAACGTATGCCGTTATGAGAGGGTCACTTCGAAGGCGGGCAACCTGTTGGCCAGTTGGTTATATGTGCTCTGTAAATTGATGAAGATTGATCTATGATGATGCTGCCCTCCCCTGCTTCTCCCACAGCTTTTCTGTGCCAGCGATAGATGCTTCAAATGCTGCAGAACAAATGCAAAACTGAACCGAACTGGAATCGTATCGGCGGAGGTTGGACCGATCCAATCGGCTTAACCACAAAAAAAGAGCAACAGACAATAAGAAAAATGGCGATTCTGCAGCAGCAGGGGTAGGGGTGCAGCAGTGTGCGGATGGGCAGGATACTTTGAATGCGAGCAAGAGAGATGTTCATCGGAACGCATGTTCTTTGAAAATTGCCCATAATTATGCGAACGAACTTCAAACTGATTGTTTCTACCGGCAGCAGCACCCATACCCATACCCAGACCCAGACTAAGACCCAAGTCCAAACCCAAGTTCCAGTCCCAATCCCAGTCCCAGCAATGGACCATTGAAGAGCAGGCAGCCTCTGCTCTGTCCGAAAAACGCGCGTCTGTTGCATGCAACTCGGATGGGACCGACGACCATGGCTATGGCTATGGCTGTGGCTGTGGCTATGGCTATATGGAATAGCCCGTTTGGCTGCAGTGAAAGAGAATGACTGTAATTACGCATCACTTTTTCTTAATTTTCATGCTGTGCATCTTCTTGCTCTTCCTTCTCCACTCGACTGCTGGATGAGGTTGAGGATGGGAGCCTGAGTCGGAGTCGGAGTCGTGGTCGGGGGGGGGGGCTGCTCCACCATCTTGTCGCCTGGGAAGTGAAGTTGTGAACGATTTGAACACTGAACTTGACCCACAAGACGAGTTTGCGGCTTTTTGTGGGGCCGAGTTTTAGAAAATTGCCCGTTGCGTGCATGTTTCCCAAAATGCGACCGACTCGAAAACATTTTGCGTGTTTTCTGTTTTCTGTTTTGTGTGTGTCTGCTGCTTCCCTCATTGAGAAATCTAATTTAAAAGATACCAAATTTTAAATTATGGGGTTTTCTTGTCTGCCAAAAATGTTTTCGTTGTTTTCTCCCCTCCACACATATGATTTTTGATTGCTCATACGTGCTGCGAAAGACACCGAGACACCGAGACACTTGGGATGCCATGCGGCGGCGAACGATACGCAATTTTGTGGCGGAAATGCTGAATGTCAAAAGCAAAGCTTTTGGGATAGAGGGAGGTTACATAACACGCAATTCTGGGGTCCCAAACTTCAGCTTAGACCTGAAACCGATCTTGGATACTTGCCAAATTATTTTCCCAGGCTGCCTCAAAGTTTAAATATGAAGCCTTGGCGAACAAGTGATGATGATTTAATATTTTTATAAATTCAAGTTGCGCGCCCGGTTTCATAGCAGCCAGCTCTTAACACGCAATCTTTAATATGTAAGTGTGGCCATAGCCTAAGAACAGTACATTCTGAAAATGAAAAGGTAAATTTCGGTATATTTTTGAAAGTCAGGCGGTCCTCGGTCACACTGACGTTTTATGTTTTCACTTGTTTTGCTTGAATCCTATTATGTAAAGAATCCAATGAAAAGGAGGTCTGAAAACTAACTTATCTTGTAGAAAATTTATGTATCTATCGGAAAAAACTATTTGTTCAGGGCTGAGGGGGACAACTAGCTAGTAATATTAAGCCGAATATCAAAATCGAGGAATATCAACGCATCTTGTCATGTCCATCAGTACATTTACGATATATTTTGATAGGGACATGGTATATTTCGGTATATCTTTGAGGATCATGCGGTATATTTTATCAATAGTCCTCGGTCACACTGTACTTACGTTTATTTACTTTTTAAACAAATTTTTAGATTTTTTATAGCCGTTCCACTCCATTCAATTCGATATGGAGAACTCTGGCGGCATGGCGGACTTGGCCAGCGTCTCGTTCGCCGACTTTGAGACAAAGACCACGGAGGAGGATGCGCCCTGCTACGAGAGCTACGGACAACAACAGAACAAACATGAAATGTCGCTGAATCTGTCCTTGAAGGAGAATTTGTTTGCTGCCGATCAAACGCCCACACCCACGCGCCTCATTAAGAACTGCGACGAAGTGGGTCTCTTTGAGGACTTGCAGCATGTCAATCCCTTCGACATTGGATTCCAGCGGGCGGCCGAACAGAATGTGAGCGGCACGCCGAATCGTCCAGAGGCTCCACAGAATAATGGCGAGTCCCTACACACACCACAAGTATACCCCCTGGAGACGGTTTCGGTGCACACTACTGCCCCGCCTCCCGTCCCAGTGGGAGCGGTAATGCGAAGCGAGAGCTGCAGTTCGATTGATGTGGAGCAGCTGCTGGCCAGTGATACCACAACTGCAATGTCATCTTCAACTCCAGTTGTCTGCGCTGATGGTCCAACGCCCATACATTTGATTCAACCCCAAGTTATCGCTTGGGTACTGCCTGCACAGACAGTGCCCGTCGCAGCAGAACTCCCTCGTGGAAAGCATCTAACCAATTCCATTCCCGTGCCATCCGGGCGCCCCTTTATACTTCCCAAGCCCAGCACAAGGCGCAATACCCCAGCGCCGTTGGTGGTGTCAAGCAATCCGCCTGCTCCGGAGCCGAGCAGCGCCAGCCTAACGCCCACATCGCAGCTGCCCATTAAAGAGCGCCTGAAGGCCATTATCCACAGCAACAACCAGAAGCGCAGCTTCTCTGCACAACCCAAAAGTGTCCGAGCAAAGCCGGATCGGGACGAGGATTGCATGGAGCGGCGTCGAGCGGCTGCCAGCCGCTACAGGAACAAGATGCGCAACGAGCAGAAGGACCTTCGGAAGCAAAACGCCCAATTGCAGCAGGATAATCAGGATCTGCGCGAGAGAATAGCCAGGTTGGAGAAGGAACTGCAGCAGCACAACAACAGCATGGCTGGTGGTAAAGTATCATTTGTTGGCAATTAGGAATCCCTGCTAATTCTCGCTTTTTCTTCTATGCAGTTGTGGCAAATCAACTAAAAATTCCGCCCTCGAGCATTCACCTGCTCATCAATGTCCCCAGTATGCTAGTGCCTTCGTCGGCATCCAACACGAGTGTGGATAAAAAGTAACATACGCTGATGCAGCCTACCCTAGTGGTAAACTCAAACGAATTATGAATTTGTTTGATTTTATTTACACATTTGTATGCTATGGTGCCATGATAATAATTCTAGCTTAGACATTTATGTATTTGTACAATAAGGCCATATTTTGTTGTGCTTTCATCTAAGAAGTATTGCTTTTACGTTCCTGATCTGTCAGTGCTTATTATGTCGGAGAGCTCTCGCACGATTTCCGCAATGGAGCTTTCGATGGCCAACAGCGGTGATTGCATTAGCTGTGATGAGTCCGTGGGCTGCGCTTTTTCCATGGTCATCTGGAAGGAAGATGTCAATTAAACGGACTTATTTGATGTACTCCCAAGAGGATGAAGAGGAACATACCCTGCGCAAGTTTTTCTGCAGATGGTCCCGCTCTTGGCACAGTTTTTGAATTTTATCGTAGTACTTATGTGCCAAAGGCGCACCCTCGCACTCATTGTAGTAGCGTTGGGCCAAGAGGTCCATTTCCTGGTTGTGAATCTCGTCCTCGGCCAGCTGCATCTCTTGGTTGTGGCGTCGCCTCTCCCGCTCGATGGTGTGCATAAGCTGGTCTATGTCCTTCTCCATTTCGATGACCTTGCGTCGCTGCTCGGACTCCTGCAGCTTTGTGATGACTTCACTCTTTCGCCGGCGAACCTCCATTTGATATGTAACCAGCAATTTTCGCTGGCAGACGAGGCGCTCCTCTTCCCGTTGGATGGTGTGGGCATAGAGTTCCTCCATTTCCTTGACGCGACGAGTGTGCTCCTCCTGCTTGAGGCCGTTTTCCAGGCGCTCCATCATGCGGACCTCCTCCAGTTCTAGATTTCGTATGCGCGCATCGATATCCTGCTGAGACTTTTGAATCTTATCCGACTGCTCCTCTTGCTGCTCAATCCATTCGCTGGGATAGTTGAGGAATTTGGGATACACACCCTTGGGTATGGGTGTGAATCGTGGAATGAAGCGCTTGGGATGCAGGGTGGCATCACATTTGGCAGCCAGTTTGCGCGCTTTCGAAATTAGCTGGCATATATCAACTGGATTCTGGTCGTGAAAGAACTCGACGATGGTCCGGTGGTCTGGCAACCGAAGAAGAACCTCTCGCTGAACCAGATTGTAGGCCACTACCAGAAATATAGGGAAGAATGGTGGCTCCGTGACAATATTGTCCCATAGAATGAGCCACTGCTGCTCCTCCAGGACCTCCGCAAAGGCATTACTGAGCAGAGACCAGGCATAGTCCTTAGACGACACACCCAGGGACTTGTAGTACTTGCAAAGCTTATCGTCGCTCCGCTGCAGGAGATTCTCACACATGGCCAGATAGTTGGAAGGCGGCAAGGGATGGAACTCGAACCACAAGTGGAAATGGTTTAGGATGAGCGTCAGAACAACTTCAAAGGAAACCAGGCCGTTCTTGGGCAACTGCTTCACAAACGGGTAGATCAAATGCGGCATGAAGTCCGCATAGGCAATGACCTTGCACCACTGGGAGAGACAAGCCCAGACCTTGATCACTCCACGCCTCTGGGAATCGTTGCGAATTTTCAGATTCCTACCATGATTTCTGACATTGGCCGGTGTACCCAGCTTGATAAGGGACTGGAACTGGCTGCCATTGCAGGGCAGCTCCAGCAGAGATGTCCATATAAGAAACCGATATTTCTCCGGGTAGCAGCCGTATTCCTTGAGCATGGCCTTCAGGCGATCAGGCTTCAGTAGATGCCGCACCTCTTGGTTCATGCAGCCGCTGACAGTGCAGGTGGGCAGAGGTGTCAGCTGTTTGAACGAGGACTTCAGTTTGATGAGGCAGTTTGTCTGGGCCTGCAGCGCATTGAACAGTCGGCAAGTGGACCACACATTTACCTCGCCACATTTAGAGATGACACTGAGCAGCTTCCCATCCCGACTCAAGCTTAAGCTGGCCGCTTTCGAGCGCTGCACAATCAACTTTTGATCCGTGTGGGCCAAGTCTAGCATCACAGCTTGATTCCTGGCTGTTATGCCGAACAAAATCCGCTCCTTGGGCTGAGGAAGGAAAGCCATTTTCTTCAGAATGAAGTCAGTCAGCCGGTACATTTTCTCCAGGTCGAAAGAAGCCGTGCTCAGCATGAGAAGATAGCCATCCAAGGCGCTCAAACACAGCTTGTTTCCATCGGGTGTGAAGCAATAGCTGAGCAGGAGCCCATCGGCAAAGTCGTGGTCCCTACACTCGAACGCCAGCTCATCCTCAACGTCACTGTCGTTGGGGCCACGTAGGGTGATCTCTGGCATGGATTTGCCAGCGGGCAGCAGCCTCAGCCTCCGATCTCTGGCCCTTATGGGCTGGGCTGACCGCAAGGTGCCCAAGGAGTGCGAGGACCACACATGCAGCGAATCGTTGGTGAAGCACGTGAAGAACTGATCCGAGTTTGGCAGGAACCCGGCAAACTTCAGTGTGTAGCGCGACTCGTCGAACTCCAGCTGATGCGACACCCTCAGCGTCTTGAGATTCACCAAGACTGCTTCGCTTCCAAAGCGCATCAGTGTGGTCCACTTGCGAGTGTCCTGCACGTCATTGCTGCTCCAGCTGAGCTCATCGATGGCTCCAGTGCCCACCTCACTGCAGGTGGACACGATCGAGTTGTCCACATCGATAGTGTAAATTTGGCCCAACTTATTGCCCACAATGTAGTCGTTCCTGTGCAGGGGCGATGGGCGGATCAGCCTAGCCTTGGGCATGCGAATACTGAGACGCCAATAGCGTTTGCTAACAAAATCAAAAACGAAGATGCTGCCACTGGGGACACAGAATCGGATTAGCCCCAAGAATAGTTTTCAGGATCGCTCTGATCTTACCGCTTGTCAATGACAACCAGTTTGTTGCTCTGGTCATTGAAGCAGCAGGCTGCAATCTGGATGCGCAGTAGCTGGCCATCCTCCGTCACCGTATGATGCACAGTGAGAATATTGCTAGAGTTGGAAAAACCCAAATCAAATAACACTTCAAATTCGTTTCGTTGATCTGTAACTTACCCAGCTTCGTTGTGCTTGAGTTTGAATGAATACTTGCGGAGTGCGTCGTCCGAGGGAATGCTCGGCAAAATGTTAAGCTGCGAGGGGATCGATTCGTCTTCTGCTTCCACATCCTCAACACTTTCCTCAAATGAAAAGTTTTCGTTTTCTTGCTCTTCGCTTTCACTGTCTTCCTCGTCCACTTTACTCTCAAAGAAAGACGGTCCTCGCAGCGTAGTACGGCCCTTGTGCTCTGGGTTCTTTGCCACCAATCCCAACCTATCCATTTGAAAAAATTAATTAATTCGTCCTGCCAAGAAAAAATTTTCCATTTCTTAGTTCACTGAACATCGAACCACTGTCTATCGCTGGCTCACATATCGAACCACCGAAATGAACCAGCATGCACCATATTATTTTATCTACTTGTTTATTTTGACTGCCGTTAATGTTAATTTGAATACACTTGATTATATATGAGATTGGTTGATGTCTGCAGGGAAGAGTGCAGAATGCCTGCTTACTAGTAAAATGCGTTTAGTTCACAGCTTAGGCCTAGAACATGCTTCCGTAAGGTTCATCATCTCGCATGGTGTAGCCGAAAATGGTCACATAATTTATAATATTGCTAATTAATGTCAGGGTGCAAGCTGTCCAAGTAATCTATCCAGGTGAAAAGAGGGGAATATGAGTATTCTTAATGGATTCTATTCAGGTGCACTACACTCAACACTCACCACCGCCGAGTGGGCGAGAACGATGGGCAAGGCAAAGGCACTCAATACCATGCCAGCCGTGAGGAACAGGGCGAACTCTGTCTTTGGATTTGTCTCATTCACCGGCGTTGTGCGCTTGGCTATGAAAACTGGAAGCACCGACAGTGCGTAGAACAGCAGGACGAAGAACGGGTAGAATATCTTAGGCGTGGGCACGGCACAGGCCAAGATAAGAAAGGTCATTCCCAGACATGTTAGAAATGCGCAGATAATCAACCTGCAAAGACACCATCAAATGTTAGTTCAATCGGCAGGGGGTGGTGGGTGCGCGTCTTACGCTGTATTGTGTTTTCCGAGACAGGTGCCCGTCCAATAGGATTCCGATCACGTGCAGAATTAGCATGGGAGGAAACAGAATTAAATTTCGTTTATTTTATATAGGTTGTTACTATGCATAATTACCTTTTAAAGTAGCCATTGCGTTTGTTTATGATTGATTTTTTTTTTTTGTCGCCAAACCAAAATGTGACTCACTAGAGATATACCGAAATATACATTTTACTTTCAAAATATACCGTAAGCATACTGACGGACACGTCAAGATGCATTGATATTCGTCGATTTTGATGTTCGGTTTAATATTGCTAGCTAGCTAGGACCCTCAGCACTACACACATAATTTTATCCGATTGATGAATCGATTTCCCACGGGATTAGTTAATTTAAAGGATTGCTTTTTATTGACTTCAAGCAAAACAAGTGAAAACATAAAACGCCAGTGTGTACGGAATGTGGCTCCAGTGGACCCGGCTCGATAACTGCAAGTTCAAAGTTTAAATTCGAATATATTTTTGGGGGTTGGATCTCAGCTGAACTTTTGCGAAAGTTCAGCCGTCTAGCTTTCACCTTTTGCATAACATCCTCAAACTACGAAGTGAATGATTTCCATTCGCAGCCTTTTCATGAATGGGTAATCCCGAAGGAGTTGGGGGCAAGCCGGTCATTGCATATTGCTTTATAGGCTAACTCGCTCAGATAATTAGTTTATTCATATATTCATTGAAAAGTGTTCCTCTTCACAAATGTACTTCAGTTACAGCTGGAGCGTTAATTAGCGATCCTTTCTTGCTATTTAGGGACCTCCCAATCCTACTTACACATTCATCTGCATAGCAGAGCTTTTGGGCGGAAATTTCATTGATAAAAATAAGCGAAAATGGCTCGCGCGTGCCCACCGAAATTCTTCTGGAGCCGGGGTGGAACTTTCGGGTGGGTGGCCTGTGGCTCCTCTACTGGCAGACACCGAGTGTGTGTGTTTGTTTGTAGCAGCCACCTGCTAGCTGATGGAGAGTCGAGTCTCGCCTCGGCTTTTTCATGAATGCGGTCCCCGTGTTTATTCAAAGAAACGTGGTGGGACGTGCAGAGCTTTCTTTTTTTGCTGGCGCTCGCTCGCGCAGGCGCCTCTCGGAGGGCTCCATGGGCCATTGTTGTTGGACAGCGACAGCCCCCCCAAAAGCTACCCGCAACATTTAACAGCGCGGGGGCGGACAAAAAGGATAACATTTGCGTCACAGCTCGGTGGCTGTTGCTGTCTTTGCCTTTGCCGCCGCCAGGCTCATTCAAACAACGACGAACGAAGGCAACGGACGGCATACGGCAAACGGATCGGACTTGCGCATCCCACAACCATCCATATCCTTCCATATGTATCTGTTTCCCCATTGAAGACCAAGTTTTCCCCCACTGCAATCTGAAAAAAAACTGCAACATTTGACATTTTTACCAACCAGTGACACTGCAACGACATCTTCTGCAACGCTAGACATTAAAAGGAGAGTGAAAAAGTTCCATTAAGTGTCGAGAATTGTGCAAAAAACGTTGGACGCCCACGCGTCGCTAAAGTTGTGCGGTTACGGTACGGCGTACGGTGTATTGGTATACGGTAGTACCTTGTCGTCGTTCAGTGCAGCTCAGCTCGGACTCGGGAGCAACCACTAGCAGCTGGCAGAAATTTTCCCGTTTTATTCGTACGAGTGTTTGTGTTGAAAATCAATAAACTCTGTCGTCGTCGTTGTGTAGGCTGCTCTGCTCTCTGCTGTGCTCTATTGAAAGGGCAAACCCGTCAACGTCAACCCGTCAGTAGCAGCCACCGTTAACCGGCCATATGGCAACTGTGCATTGTTAGGAAATTGTCATAGAATCGCAATAAAGGAGGGGATCAGAACTCAGCACTCAGCAATCAGCAATCGAGAGGCACCTGAGGACCTAGAAATTATAGAAAGTGCCCGGGGAGCGTTGCAATATGGCGTCCAGATTGGAAATAAGCGTTAGCATGGCACTGCTTGCAACTGTGCTGTGCAGCATAGTGGGTCATTGCGAAATGTCCGTATACCCAGGTATGGCTAAAAATAGCACAAATCCACTTACACACAATCAAACATACATACATATATACTATATAGTTTTAAGTTTTGTGCGTCGTGCATGGCACAGGAGGAACGAACGAACGAGCGAGCGAACGAGAAGCGAAGCCAGCAGGGCATTTGCTACTTCGTTTTGTGTATACTGTGCACTAGATATAGGTACATTCATACATTTATAGATATGTATATGTACATGTACACTGTACACTGTATGTATCAAATATTCACGAATCAAACCAAAACACCCACGCGCCCTTTGACTTCGGGTTCACGTCAGCCTTACAGAGTACATACCCATACACACACCACTTACACTGCTGTATGTAGTATATGAAATGCAGCGTCAGAGAGCACAAATACACACACACACACACACACATAATAATTCGATTTACCGTTACATAGTTGAATGTGTATATGTATGTTCGCCCAACACAGGCGGGAGGTGGGGTGGTGCGCTTTGGTTGTTTGCAATCTGTAAAAGGGATATCCGCTTGAATTTTTTCTCCGCGTTGGCCAGCTCCAGAAGTGGAGCCCCCCCCCCATTCTACAGAGTTGGCCCAGGTCCTTCTTTAAGTGTAAGCGCAACACATACCGGAACACGAAACGCGATAAACTTTTCCAAGCACGTCACAGGCCGAGCCGAGGCCTGTACTGACTCCTGACTCCCGACTCCCCCCCTCCACCACTTTCTCGGCTTTCTCGGCGTGTTTGCCTTTGGCCAGGGCGCGTGTGTAATTGGTCTATTTTTAGGCCATTGGCAATTAAATGGACTTTTGTTTGTCTATTTCGAATCCTTTTTCTGGTATTGCCTTGGCCCAAAATAACGTGCGAGGAGGGCAGATGGGTGGGTGTGCGGCGGCGGGTCACAGACCGTTTCGTGTTGCGGCTATTTCGGACTGCTTCTATTTTCCGACTAGCTTTCCATTTTTCGACCGCTGACACGCAGGACATTTGTCATTAAAATAATCACACCACGCCTCTCGTCAAGCCAACGCCCACTAATCAATTGCTCCTTTTGCCTACCTCTCTACCACTCTGCCACTCCACCAGGACTACGTCGCCGACCCATACAGGCGCCCGTTATGGATCCGCAGAACGAGCAGGAATACGCTTTCCTGGCCCAGATGATGGAGCAGTACGCCCGCCGTCGCCTTCAGCATCAATTTGACCAGCAGCTGCACGAGATCAACATGAAGCTGGAACGCCAGCGGCAGCTGCTCGAGATGGAGCGGTACCGCCAGCGACAGCAGGAGCTGCAGGTGGAGCGCGAGACGGAGGACGACTATGACGGCGGTCTCAACAATCTGAACAACCAGCAGTACGACCAGTACGACAACGTGGAGGCGGAGCCCAGCTACGGCAGTCCCATCAGCAATTTGCCCGATGTCCACTCGCCGGTGTATCTGCCAAGTCTTCCCAATCTGCCGATTCTGCCCAGCCGCCACGGTCTTCCCAATTTGGGTCGCAACAGTGTCCCACGCGAGAAGATTCCCTTCGCCGTGGGCCCCAACGATGCCCGCTTTTTCGACAACCCGAGCGATCCGTCGGGTGAGATGGACTCGCGTGCCCTGGAGGACTACGAGGAGTATGCTCCGATTCAGCCCACACCCGAGGTGGCGACGGCCACCATCAAGACCATGATCGACACGCCAGTTCCTGCACCTGTGCCCGTGGAGCCGCCCAAGCTGCTGGATGCCGCCAATGCCAACTTCCATCGCATCAATCCCAACTCAGCGGCCGCCGCAGCTGTGGCGGGAGTCAGTATTCCGCAGGGTAAGGACCAAACACCCCACAAGCTGAACGCTCTGATCACCAAGCTGCAAAAGCAGAGCAAGTCCCCGCATGTGACCCTGGTCAATGGAGGGGGCGACGCCAACTCCGAGCAGATTGTGCTCCGCCAGCACATGGGAATGAGCAGCGAGATGGGTGTCTACATTGTGGCCCTAATAGCCGGTATGAGCGCTGCTGTGACTGTGGGACTTCTAGCCCTAGGAGTGACCTGGTAAGTCATCCCCCCCACCGAAAGAGACGGAGTCGGGACGGAAGTAGTAATGCCAATTATTTTCAGGGTGCACAATCGCAGCAAAGCCGCAGCGGATGTGGACTATCCGGCGTATGGTGTGACCGGACCCAACAAGGACGTCTCGCCCTCCGGCGACCGCAAGCTGGCCCAGAGCGCCCAGATGTACCATTACCAGCACCAGAAGCAGCAGATCATCGCCATGGAGAACTGTCAGGCCACCGATGGCAGCTGTGGAATGTCCGACGTGGAGAGCGATGACGACAACGAGGAGGGCGACTACACGGTCTACGAGTGTCCCGGCTTGGCGCCCACCGGCGAGATGGAGGTTAAGAATCCACTCTTCCTGGACGAGACGCCGGCCACCCCGGCCAACAATCTCTCCTCGGCGGCTGCTACCAACAACAACATCACCCAGGCCACACCCCAGCAGCCGCCCACCGTGAAGAAGGGCACGGTCAAGCCGAACATGAATCTGTTGAATGCCGCCGCCACCGCTGCCGCTGCCGCTGCTGCTGCAGCCGCTGCTGGTGAGGAGTCGAAGCAGAAGCGCAAGAGCAAGAAGTAAGCTAGAAGATTGAACTTTTACCCCCCCCCCCCTCCCCTTGGAAATGCCCGCAGGTCGTGGCAACTGGTAAAGTTTGACTGATCCATTGTCAGCCAAAAGGACACACCATACTTTACACACGCCGCACACCAACAGAAACGCAGACCAGACTAGTTATATAATCCATGGAATCTAATTCCCCCGGCTGCAGCTCGCTCGCTCGAGTGCAAGGAAGCGTAGCGTACACATAACAATCCAGATGGCAAACACAGATACTCCTACACACACACACACCAGATGCCACACGGCAACTGTCTCGTCTGTTATCTTCCCTATGAATAAGCACACATATGTAAGTCCTATTACATGTGGCATTGTATTGTATCGTAATCGTAATCGCATCGCTATGGTATAAGACAAGCCTCCGCAGCGCATCTATCTGTCAAGCCCCCCATTGCAAATCCAAAACCCCCAAAACCCCAACCCCAACCCCAACTCGAATCCAGCTGTCAGTTGCACAGTGGGAAACCAGGTTATGGCATGGCATGGCATTGGCGGCATTGCTGTGTCTGTGTCTGTGCCCATTCAACTGCAACTGATTTCCTGTCTTTACAATCCAAGAGGTGTACTTATTTATGTCATGGGACAAATACCCACACATATATGTATATTATATATTGTATATCAAACTCTTTTTTGGTGTCTGCAACTGGAATCAATTTATATGGGAAGCATACTTTAAAATGGGGCAAAGGGCCACAGGGCCAACCCACAGGGCAAGCAACCAACTAAATGCTAACTAACATATTATATATTATTATATACATACACACACACACACACACACATATTGATATACACATAGATATATATATAGATATATATATATTCATGTAATTATTGTAACATATATACATACATATTAACCGGGAGCGGAAGCGGAACCGGAACCGGATCTCCCCCCTCTTTTACTACGTAACTATCTTTTTTTATTTTTACTACGCTTTGTGATCGAATCCTAAATTATCTGTGTCAATTTAGAAATACAATTCTGGTAACCAAATCCAACACCTATACAACACATACACACATATTATCTACTATTAGATTGGAGAAGAGATATGTACTATGTTTTGAGGGAGCGGAACGGAGCGGAGATGATGTTTATTTAGCGGAGAAGAGAATTATTTACAAGTAAAACTTAACAATAATTTCCCTGCACATTCATGTAAAGTAAATGAAAAACGACTGATAACACACAAAAGATAACACGCGTCTATTGTACAAAAATGAAAATGAAACGAAAAAAGAAATGAAATGAAATGAAATGAAGGAGCGTTTAAGAGAGATACGAGTACAATTTATTTACTGTCTAGCGAGAGATTAGCAGAGAAAACTATCAGCGGAAACAAATCTCCACAAACAAACAAACAAACAAAAAACCCAAAGAGAAACAATTATAAGAAACTGTAGCTAAACATTTACTATTACTAAAACATATTCCCAACTGCTGTAAATAAAACATACATGAAGCGTTTAGAAGAAGGTAGACAGAGAGCTAGCTAAAGCTGGGAAACCATTGCGGCCGAAACAATACACTGAAGACAGAACAGAATTGAAGAACTTACGAGTTGAAAAACAAACCAAAACAAAAACAAAATCAGAGCCCTAAATGATTAATTTGACTATTTATTGATTACTAGAACATGCAAAGCATCTGGTGGAGTGGAGGCATTGGAAATTGAATTTGAAATTTAAATCGAATCTGACTTGGCAACAATAAACATGCAAGCAGCATATGTACGTTGAGCGTAATGTTGAGTTTGAAATATATATTTTATGGTGTTTGGCTAGAGACACGACAAAATAATCTGATGCAAATTAAAATTGATACCAAAAAATGTAACAAAAAAAAGTAAAAGTAAAAGTAAAAGTAAAAGCGACACAGAGCCCTACTTATATTGTGAATAAAAAGTATAATTTAATTTATTTATGTATGATAACCGTAATAACACAAATTATACAATATGCATACAAAATAAACTAAACTAACCCAAAAAAGAGTTTTACTTTTGAATTTTAACTAGCACGAACAGCAGCGATGAATTTGATATTTTGGTTTTCAATGGCTGCTATGAAACTATTACTCTCAGTGTATAGTTCCACATTAGTTTGTAATTAAGCATTCAACAGATCAAATGTCTTTTTTATTCACATATAATTTCAGAATTCATTTTGTATAATTCAAAGGCGATATCTTTTCAGAGCTCTTCGACTGATGCAAATATCGATAGTCGTATTCTACTCGGTAGATTTACGGTATATTATGAAAAAGAAAAGGTTTATTTCGGTATATTTCTGAGGTTTTTAAAAAAACAATCGATACTATCGTAATGGTATCGGTCTCAAATATTTATTAATTATTCATTTTTTTTTGTTGATATTTACTAGTTACTAACCTGATTAAATAGAGCGGGGCTAAGCTATTTTTTTTCTCGGTTTCTGAGGTTCCAGTCACACTCGACAAAACAAATCAAGTGAAATATTTATTTTTCCATATATTTACATTTGAAAATGACCGCCAAACTCATTTAGCGCACAAAAATATCGATATTATTCGCTCTCAATTGGTGGTGGTGTTTAAAAAATTTGCTCTCTTTTCTGTGGTGAAGAGAGTGTTTTTGTGGTGACTTTCCCCTCATTTTCGTGGTGTGAGAAACATGTTCTTAACGGGAACGCGTATGGAATGAAGATTCATTGCTGCGGAAAAATTGCAGGGCAACATTTGGAAATGGGGAAATGAAGTAGCAGCATTGTTGTGCAACTTTGGCACGGAATGAGCAACAAGTCTGAATACCTTGGGAAAATGGATATTATGGACTTGAGATACTGTTTGTAATGTTTGTTTCGGGCTCCAATTAATGCCGAAACTAGCCAGTCTCTTTTGTAAAGACATAAACGAAATTTTATAGCTCACGGGTACCAATAATAGGTATCAGAACCGCGATAAATGTATATATATATAACAAAACATATGCATTAATAGGTACAAAACATGTCAATCTAGTATAAAATCATAAATAATGTTTCAATGGAGCTTGGAACAACAAAATTAGCATCAATTAAAAGAAATAAGGTATACAAAAGTACATACGTATACAAGAAACTTGGTTGACCAGCAACACTGACGTCACATTTAGTCAACATTTACGTTTTATGCTTTGGCCGCTTTATATGTAACTGAAATGCTGAAACCCATCCTAAACAACTGGCCGTTTTTGTTTTAACCTTAATATGTAAATAATCCAATAAAAAGGACTTCTAAAACTAACCAATCCTAAACAAAATTCATTGAGGAATTGGATAAAATTATTTGTTTAGGGCTGAGAGTCCCAGCTAGCTAGTAATATTAAACGGAATATCAAAGTCGAGAAATATCAACGTTGAATGTTTTGAAAAAACAATCGATACTATCGTGATAGCTCTAATAATTATTATAAAACCATTGAAACCTTTTAGGAACTTGTCCATTGTAAAAATTAGATGCCACCTGTCGATTTGTTTACAAATGTGTCTTCGTATTTGGGAGCAGCCAATCCAAACATATCAAAATCGCAACAACTGTAGCTCGATACTATCATGATAGTCGCAAAACCGTCGATAGTAGCGGATAGTAGCAAAACATCGATACTATCGATAGTGCTCTCGATGGTTTGACACCTCTATGCTAGAATTTGTTGTCGCCCGCAGTCCCCCGTTTTCGTTCTCGTAAGCCAAAAAGTTATTAATTTAAGTGATAATAAATGCCTGATGCCTGATTATGTAAAATGGACAAGTGCAGATAGCGACTGATAGCATTTCCGAACATATGGAAAGTGGACAATTCTGTGATGCTTGTGCGTTTGTGTGAGAGAGTGATACAGTGTGGGGCTTCCGTGTCGCCAAACTAAATACAATTTTGTTGTGTTTGACTCATAATATTCATGGAGACCCGAGCGCGTCATGCGTTTTATATTGAATTATTGCTGAGCCTGAGAGCTATAGCGTTTAATTTGATTGCCAGAGCCAGTCACACAATCGAATTAGTATGCGAAACCAGAAAACTATAGAAACAAATATAGACATGGCGTAATTGAAGAGCGAGAGAGGGCTGCTGTGTGTTAATTAATTAATTGCTCATACTTGACCTGGACACTAGCCAGAAGCAGAACCAGAACCGAACCGAAAGCAACAATAAATGTGTATTGTGTATGTATGCATGTGTTCACCAGAAATTGGGTAAAAGGCGAAAAGTAGTGCGTGTGTTTAGTTTACGTTACGTTACGTGAGCCCACCGTGTGGTAGTTGTAGTTGTAGTTGTGTAGTTATGCTATCCGCCAGTGTGTGCGTGCGTGTGTGAGCAAAGTTTCTCTCGGTAGCTGCTGCTTCATTTCGTTATAATTTCTTTTTATTTACTTTTAGTTCACACAGATCAGGTTTTGTTCAGCTGCATTCTTTACCCTCCCAAGCGTCTGCCCCTCCCCTTAGCATACTTGAGTGTTCTAAGGTGCAAGAAAGAGTGAGAGAGAGAGAGACAAAGAGAGCAAGAAGGAGAGGGACAAGTGGCTGCACTTGCCACGCTTGACTTGACCACATTCAACTTGCAGCAGCAGGCTGCCTGCATATGATGCGGAAACTGCAGATAAAAGCGTAACACACAAAAAACCAGATAAAAAGAGGCAATGCGATCAGGCTGAAGCGGAATAACTGCAGCGATCGCAACAAAGGACTGAAAGAGGGATAGAGCGAGAGCCAGATCCAGATCCAGAGAACCTTTAGCATACATTTCTGAATGGAATAATTATGTGATGGGCTCGTGCTCGTGTACGCGGCGACACTTTTTGTTGTCAATATGCTTCCTGCAAGTGGTGAGTATTCACTGGAAAACCAGTTGTTGTTTTTGCTGTTCCAATTAGCTGCATATTAAAAATCGATTGCATTTGTCCTCCTCGGCCCCCTTACCCATTTCACAATCAATAGATAACGATTATCGAACGCCAGGTATTCGACTTTCTCGGATACATGTGGGCTCCCATACTGGTGAATTTCTTCCACATTCTATTTATCATATTCGGATTCTATGGCGCATATCACTTTCGCGTTAAATACATCATCACCGTGAGTACCCTGCCCCCAATCCCTTGGCCCCCATTATCGTATCTCTACGATAACCCAAATTTGTGTTCGTTTTGTATTTGCGTTTGACTGTGGCAGTATCTAATATGGAACTTCCTATGGATCGGCTGGAACGCCTTCCTCATTTGCTTCTATCTGAATGTGGGGCAGTTGGATAGGGTGAGTATTATTAGGCAATGAGTAACTCTGGATACTCATTCCAACATATCTCCTATATGCATGTGCGAAGCAGGACAGTGATCTACTCAATCTGGGCACGGGCAGCGTTTCCTGGTTCGAGGCGAACGGTTATGGCTGCCGTCCCACCTACAACATGACGGCGGATGATCCGTTCCGGCCACAGCGGCCGGAGAGCGTAGAGGGCTGCCTGCTCGACTATACGCTGGTGGAGATTATTCATTCGGGAGTTCAGTGCGGCCTGGCGGTGAGTGGTTAACAGGCCTTAAGTGACCTGAATTGTTGTAAATTGTTTCGTCTCTCCAGCTGCTCGGTATACTCGGTGCGATTCTGATCAGTTGCATATTTCTGGACGAGGACGACAGATGTAAGTGGCAGCCAGCAATTCTATTCTATGTCGTTTGTCATACTCTTTCATTAACTGGGAACCGGCCAATATCTCTAACAGCATCTCTATCCTCTTTTGTGTATCACCCTGCACGGTATATGGTACTTATGTCCCCTTACCCTACCCTACCCCCGTTTCCAACCTAAACCGTATTTCCCTAGCTGAATCGATTGTACATATACCGAATGTCAAATACGTACGTAAAGTTATCTATGTGTAAGCTCCTGGCATCCAAATACCCCAACCCCTGAATGCGATTGTACCCATATACATACATACATACATATATAAATCGCATCTATATATACATAGTACATATGTACATGTTGTATATCCATGATTAAAACTTCCCCATTGTTATCCTCCTATCCAACTGTGAACTGTGAGCAACGCCACATAATCATACATATTTATATACATAATATTACATATATACTCGTACATTTATATGTATAGTTGTTACTACAATCCATGTTATATGTCTAAGTCGCCATCCACTCATAACACCAAGAACAACTACAACATTGTGTTTGCTTATCGATAACGACACTGTGCAACACAAAACCAACAAGAGAGATAGGTACTCGGTACTGGGATTTTAATGAAACTTTTAACATGTTCAGTGTTCTTAGGCATGGCATCCAAGAGAGTCCGATAGTAGTTCCGGCTGGACTTGCTTTGAAAACTAATCGAATGAAAGATAATTGCCACAGAAATGCATCTTTGAGTGCAGCTAAATTTATTTCAATCCAGCATGTGTACCGAGTGCGGGAATCAGACCAAACAAAAAACAAAAAAAAAAAAAGAGTTCGATTTCTTGTCGCTGTTGCACAGTGTCTTGCGATATTCGAAGTATCTACTGGATTGTTAAAGCATCTTTAATCAATTTCTGGTTTACAGTCGATTTCATGAACGGCGACGCGAAGAGTCCCCAGCACACCGTGGTGCACCCAATGTACGTGAGCTATACAAGTATACCCACAACATCCGCAAGCGCCACAATGCAATCAAACAAGCATCTGCAGCTGCAACTGCAGAGCCAGCAGCAGCAGCAGCAGCAAAACTCACTGAAACTCTATCATCATCAGCAACAAGTACCACACTTCAACCAGAACTACCAACTGAACAACAGCAACAATAATACACTCAACAATAATCTTCACCAGCGTCAGGCGCCGCCTCAGCCGCCGCTAGACACAACAATTAACCACAATGCATCATTCCAACGCCACCACCAATCAGTCAACCATCTAACCCAGCGCACAAGTGGCGAGAACAGCAACAGCAGCAGCCTGAGGCGCCAGCGCCACCACCAGACCACCAGTGGCTCCGGTCCCAGTCCCATGTCCCCACAGACCACGCCCTCGCTTTCGTACGCCTCGCTGCAGAACTCCAACTCCAATCCCTATCTGGCCAACTCGCTGAGCAACAGCAACTATAGCATCTTCCAGGGCATCCCCGAGTGTGGGGGCAGCAGCACGCACTTTGCCCGCATCCATCACAAGGCCAAGGCCCCCAAGTCGGGGCTCATATCATCACCAGGTGTGGGTGTAGATTCAGGTGTAGGCATTGGCCTGGCAGGCTATTCCCCAGTCCGTCCGCTCGAACGTCTCTCGCGCAATCTCGAGGAGGAGGAGGACAACTTTTCGATGCAGCAGCTCTCCCCTGGGGCAAATGGCGTCACTTATGTGCCCTTCAGGAGTCCCACGCCCAGCACTCTCTTCGTGCACGAGAACAACAACAATTCTCAGCCGCACATCGTCTTCAACTCAGCCACGCACTCTAGTCCCAACAACAATGCCTCCTTTCCCTATGAGCAGAATGGATTGCCTTCCCCGTTGCGTGTGGGGCCCAGTCCTAAGGCCCGGCGACCCACACAGATTCCGCTGCCCACAGTGCCGCTGCACACGTGCCACGTGCTGGACGAAGACGATGATGAGGAGGTAAATGGCGATCATATGCTGACGCCACCGCCTCCACCCGTGCCCCGTCCGCACATCTTCCATCAGCGGCTGGGCCAGGCGCCCTATCCTGATCTCTCGCCCGAGATAGCCGAGAAGTACGCCATGCCCACACAACATGTGTCCGTGCCCTCATCCATTCCCGTTCCGGTGCCCCACGGCTCGCCCATGGTGCGACGCACCCATCGCCGCCACCGACCCGCCATTCCGGCACAGGCCAACTTTTGCGATCAGATCAGAGCCCCTCCGCCCGGCTACGTGGTGCGCACCCAGAGCGACGATCGACTGGTAGAGGCGGATCAGCAGATGGAGGCGGCTCCACGCGTCAATCGCCGGAGCAACAACAAGACCCGTCCCCGCTCCTTCTGCAGCTCTATTGTGGGCGTACAGGCCTAGATTCCGGCCAGCGAGGCCTCCAAGTACGTCCAGCTTCCTACACTCCCCTCTCTATCTGCAATCGCCTCTCTGTAATCTTCTCTCTGTCCGTGCAGGTGCTGGGCCAACTGCTGCCATGTCTGCCTTGTAGCGATGATCCTTTTCCGATCCACCCACACATATACCACACGTACATACATTTTGTTGTTTCTATGTTGTGCCTAACGACCAGGCATCAGCCATGGCTGATGGCTCTTCCTCTCCGGGAGGGAGCATATCCATAACCGCAACCATAAGCTTCCAGCGCGTGTGCTCATCGATTCGGATTCGGATTGTGCGCGGACTCGGCCTAGCAAATGTCTAACTTATTTAACCAAGCCAAGTATTTATGTATCAGCCAGAGCACACACACCACACGCATGTCCTACATACATACATACATAGAGGGGGTCTTTCCCGTCGACTTGTGATAGGAAATCGAATTGCGGAAAGGCCCCACATACAAACACAAGAGAGCCTACATAATTTTATGTTGATCTGTGATAACTCTAAAAAAAAAAAAAATGAACGACAAAACGATTAATTATATAGCCGAAAGTGTCACAAACAAAAAAGTTGAACAAATTTGTTGAAAATTGAATGAAACTAAAAGAGATAACGAAAAGAAATTTATAGAGCCAATTGCAACCAGATGCCTTGGATTAAGAACGGATTAGAGATTTACATACATATATACAAAAGAAAACTAACTATATAGATGTGTTACAAAATGTGAGGGGGAGTGCGCAGCCTCCCACCTTCAGCTGCCTTTTGTTGTTTAACTAATTAAAATACGATTTACGATACATACATATGTAGAAGTTAGTTTGTGAAACTAAAAAGTTGCCTAATGGAATAAGATTCGTGCAAGATTCGTTACATAGACAAATAATTACAAGAAAACGATCGATCTATTAGATATACATACATACATACATACATACAGATATATGAATGTTTAAGTTTAGTGTTAAGCTTGAGGCCACACACACAAAATATAGTTTATAGTCGCGCAAGCAACGCCAAGCAGAGCAAATCCAATCCATAGCTTAGTAGAGTATCTAAATATTTACCTTATAGATTGATTGCCTCTCTGATCTAGAGAATGGTGCGGATTGTGGTGCCAATTATCGACGAGATTCGAAAGCGTTTCCAATAAATGTTCATTTACACCAAAACTCTCTCTGCAGTCTCTTCTCTTCTCTATCTCTCTTCCGCTCTCTTGTATTTTTTTAGTCTGTAACTCTCTCTCTCAATGTATATGGATATAGGCTCTACAGTATAGTATCACCTGGTAGATGGCTTTCTGTAGCATTTGTGGCTCTCTAACCAATCGCTAACGATCTTCTCTCTACGCCAAGTAGCTAATACAAATTACTTAACAGCTCCAACCAAGCACACAAAACCACACACACTATCAAACCTAACCCCAGGTAACTGCCATTAGATATTGTTACTTATAGCAATATACCTTCACCCATGCCCTACTGACATGACATCTTTCTATATATAGTGAAGCATATTAGCAAGCAGTCGAAGCACCGCCAGTCGCTGTACTCCATGGAGTTTTGCAGCAGCAGCGACACCATCCGGCATGGCAGCAGTCACACCATCATGGGCATGGGACTGGGGCTGGGCGATCCACGAGGCGACCAGGATGGCGGTGAGCTGAGCCCCAAGCCGATGACACCAAGGCGCGTGAAACGGAGGTCGGTGATGGCCAGGGGCAGCCAGGGGAGACAATCCAGTGGTGGAGGAGGCAGCAGCAGGCGCTCGCATCATGGATCCAGCGGCACACTGAGATCCAAGCATGGCGGCGGTCATGGAGGTGCAGCCGGGGACAGCAGCAGCGGCAGCTATGTGAGGAGCAGCACGCGCAGCTCCCGCAGGAAGTACCAACAGAACCCGGTGACCAAACTGATCGACCAACAGCAGCTCCAGCAGCAGCAACAGCAGCTGCAGCAGCCCCACCTGGGCTCGTTCCATCGGCAGGACAAGCTCTCGCTGACCGTCTCCAATCTGCAGTCGCTCAACGATGACATGCTCAACAACACGAACATCCCCGGCAGTCAGCTAGGCAGCCTGGCAAAGAACAATGGCCACTTTTATCACAGCTACCGCAAGAACATTCCCCTCGATCCCATCTACTACAACACCAACGGGCAGGGCATGATCCAGCAGCAAGAGGAGCCACCAGTCTCGCCCACCCTACTGCCCCCACCGCCTCCGCTTCCAGCTGTGCCAGCTCCTGCAACGACCCTCCATGGCGGGGGCCACTACAATCCCAGTTACCAGCACTCCACCACCCACCTGAACGATGTGGGTCACGGCGACGAGGTATACAACAATCGGCCACCTTCGGTGCGTTCCAGCTACTCCAACTTTCACGGGTCACGGCCCTTGTCCACCGCCTACGCCAATGCGGGCGAGAACGTGTTCGTCGGATTGGGTGGAGCCAATGCCAGTCCGCCGCAGCCTCCCTGCACGCCACCCCTCTACCAGCAGCATCCCCTCCATCAGCAGCAGCAGCAGCAACAACAGCAGCATCAGCAGCAGCAATATCTTCCACCGCCCCCAATGGAGCCAGCGCCAGCTTATGTGAGCGCCATGTCCTTCTCAAAGCGCACCGCCTCGCGGGAGAGCATCCGTTCTATGGCCTTCCTCAACAACGGACCGCCCGCCTACAATCTCAACTACCACACGCCACCGGACTCGGAGACAACTATGTGAAGCCGGTCTGCCGGTCCATCCTAAGCTCTCAGCTTCAGCTTCAGCATCAACTTCATCAAGGATCTCGGAATCTATGGAGCCCAACACTATCATCATCACCAGCCCGAAATTATTTCTACTTGTGCAACAAGCCACATCCATAGCCAGAACCTAGCTGCACGTAAATGAGTGCCTTGACCATACACATGGAAAGTGTATACTTAATCCCTAACCATACGTACGTAAATGTGTAGGTGTAGTGCCTAAAGTAGATCTAAGTTTCTGTCGTTTTACCAAAGTGCCTTTGTAAATAAACATCTAAACAATTATCGACAAGAGAATTAATTAAGAGAAAAAGAAGGGCAAAGCAAGGGATTATATTTATATTGATTGTATTTTTAGTTCTTTAATGAATCCTTTAGGAAATGTTCCAACAGTTTAATTGAAGGATCAACTTGGAGATTAATACGATACGTAAGGCATATATGCGAGTAAGTTACCCACTTTCTGGGCTGCGGATATTACTCCTTTCGGCATACTGTAAGATGGACAAAATAAATGGGATAATCCAGACAAATGCCAAGCTCTACTCACAATCGTCGGCATCCCAGCCCGGCTCGATGTCCAGCTGCTTGTTGCGCTCCTTCAGCCACGTGAAGAGCGGTGCAAAGTACTCTAGAATGCCGCGGCCACTCAACTTTCGCTCCCCCGTGGCAATCTCCATGACATCACGCCAGTGCCGGGTGGCCCCCAGCTGCATCATCTCGCGCATCAAATCGCCCGCCTCCTTGCTGTCGTAGAAATCGCAGTTGTGCAGGGGAAACTTTGGATCTCCGGGCTTGTACTGGCCGCTGACCAGGCAGAACGAGCGATAGAACTGGAAGCCCAAGATCTCGGACAGAAACTTCCTGCAACCACAACAAAGAGAAGTTTAGTTTGGTTTAGTTGAGTTAATCAAGGGAGGATGATTCACTCACTTGGTGTTGGAGGTCTCTGGGTTCATGCCCCGATAGAACTTAAAGTCCGGATCGAAATCCTTCGATGAATGCAGGGCCGGAGGCTGGACGCCCGCGTACTTGTCCTGAAGGCGCCAGTAGGCGCAATTGTACTCCCTCACCCCGATCCGTCCATCCATCACGTCCACCAGGAACTTGTCGTTGATGAAGTACTGCGGCACGGCCACGAGAGTGTGCACCCCCATGCGAAACAGCCGATTGAGCGACTGCTCCTCCGAGAGGCTCTCGTTCAGCAAGATGTGCAGCCGATGCAGGTGCCGGGCGGTGCCCGAGGCCAGGACCACAGTCTCGGCCAGCGCACTGCCGAAGCCCGGACAGGGTTCGACGTCCAGGCCAAAGGGCAGATCCCGCTTGTAAATGTTGTACTGCAACTCGGCCATCGTTCCATGGATCTGCATCATCTTCTTGTAGTCCAACTTGGGGCAGTAGCGCAGGGCCACGTTCGGTGGGAAGTAGTAGACCTGCGACTTGCAGTCCGGCCCGCCCTCGTCATCGTTCATCCGGCGAGAGTAGCGGTCGTAGAACCCACTGAAAAGGAACAAAGTGATCAGTTTCCATGCAAGAACGGATGAGATCCTCGCGGTTTGCGGCTTGTACTCACTCGGTCATGTTGTTGAGGCCCAGCGACTCGAAGAACTCGGCGGCCTTCCTGTTGATCTTCACGGGAGTGACGAGGACTTCCTCCAGCCGACGATGGACGGACGGCAGCTGGTGCTGTCTGCTCGGGTGCGGAGTGCGGAAGAACTGGTGCGGATACCAGTCCTGGGACAGAATCTGATCCATAACCGGCGCCACAATAGCTCCGTCGCTCTTCGTGTCCGCCTTGGGGTAGGCGAGCTGCACCTCGTGCCGCAGATAGGCGTGCAGTTCCCGGTAGAGCGGCATGATCTCCCACACAACCGCCTCCATCTCGGCCTGGAAGTTCTCGGTGTCGTAGTTGAGGTACCACGTCCTCGATGGCGTTACATGTCCATTGTATGTGGCCGCAATCCTGAGCAGCCGCACGTAGTCGATGAAGGTGGATTTGGCAGTGTCCTTGTCGTTGATGGCTCGCCGCCAGCTGAACCAGTTGAGAACCAGATCCTCGTAGTGCTTGGCCCGCATGTTCTTGTTGAATATGTGCGGATACATGGCCAGGGGGCGACGCGTGGTGCATTCCTCAAAGGTGCAGACAAGCGGTCCGCTCACAAAGTTCCTCATGGCCCGCAGCAGATCCTTGGCTTGCTCGTAGTCCTTTGGCCGCAGGCCCTTCAGCTGCAGCTTGGCCATGCGCTGGACGCGACGTCGCAGCATCGGATCCTCCAACTGATTGACGGGCACCACGCTCAGATTCGCGGCCAACTCGTACATAAGCCGATAGGTCTCCATTTCGACCTCCGTCTTGCTTGGCGCCTGTCCGCCCAGCGGTGACTTTCCCTTGGAAGTCAGCTGAAGGAAAATCCTCTGCTTCATGTTCCAAATGGTTTGCATTCGCCTGGTGGCTTGCTCCAGGATTTCCCGTGTGGACTGCTCATAGTTGGCCGAGTGATTGGAGGTGGCTCTATTGAAGCTGCAGTTCACTAAGGTCGGAATCAGGGCCACTGCCAAGACCAGGATCAGTCGAAGGTTCTTCGTGGAGAGCCCCATTGTGACAGGGGCTGGCTTCCGTTTTTGGGCCTGGCACTGGGACTGTGTAATGATAAGCTTATCGCTTTGGGGCACTGTGCCTTGCTCGCTCTGCTTTTTGCGCTGTTTCTTCCGAATCGAATGGAACTGCGACGAGAACTAAGCGCTGAGCGCTGTGAACGGCTTGAATTATACAGTCGGTTGGATCATACAGTGCCACATCCATAGGGTTAACTGAAAATGAAATTCCCATCTAATATGGATTTCTGCCAATATGTTTCATAGCTCTAGCCGTATTAAAGGTATCTATAAGTACGTATGGAACTGTTCTACTCTTTAGCCCATTGTTCACTTGGGGAAGTGTTCACTGTAGTCGCTTATCAGTTGGACCAGGGTTGCCAAACTAGTGTGGGTTATGAAAGAGAACGCTCTGAGCTTGATCTTTAGATCTCTGCAACGAAATATTACGTATACGAACCGCTGGGGCATTACGAATCCGCCGAGTGCGCCTTAAGATACGGAAATCGAATTGAATTACTGACCAGAGCTATTCCCCGAGCCCGCTTTCCATGGACATAGATGAACAGTGGCAGCTGCAGCAGTGGAAGGGGCAGCATTGCCTCCTCCTGGCTTTGTTAGCCAGTGGCCCATATTCAGGCTTAATCATTTTGACATTTTCTTAGGGTTTGCGGGAGGTGGCGTGTACATTTGCCCCGCGGTGCAGCAGTGGCAGGCAGCAGCAGCAGAATAGGGGGAAGTTCTGCCAGAGCATAGCATGTGGCATGGCATGGCATGGCATTTGTTTATGCCGGCAGGCCTCCAAGATATATATAGAGAGAGAGAGAGAGAGACGGAGCGGAGAAGAAAAAAGGACTCGTTTCGCTTTCGCTTGCTGACATTTTAGTTACAGAGAGGGAAACCAGAGAGCGTGGGAGAGAATTTCCCTGGCTGTTCTTTTAGGGCATTGGGGGGCATTTGGGGGGGAATTTTCATTGGCCTCCCAGTGTTGCTGTTGTTACTGTTGCTGTTTCATCGCTCTGCATCGCGGTTGTTCTGCAGATTACGTCAAACGGCAAGGAAAACCCGTTTACAGCTCAGTCACACGACGAACCTTAGAGTAAACGCACGCGTCCTTTAGAACGTACGGTATTCCTCAACTGCCACTCACACACACACACACACACACACACGAATACCCATTGAAAAGGAACTAAATGAAAGCCCAAGGAATATTGTATAAAAAGAAAGGACGCAGGAGGAAAAAAAAAGTTTAAAAGGAAGCCTCAAACTTACACAAACACACACGTGGATGTACATGCTGGCAAATACTGTTACACACGCACAAGTGCAGCGCAAAGAAAAATTCTTCAGCGCCCAAAAATAGAGTGAAATGTGCTGCATGATAGTGCCGTTGTTGTTGTTGCTGCTGCTGCTGCTGCTGCTGTAGGACAGCGTAGGAAGGGAAGAGTGTGGAGTGCGGAGAGGAATGTGGGGGGACACACAACGGAAACTAACCTACATTTTCGCGCTCTTTCGCACGCTTTCGCACACACACACCACGCACATGCAGAGTCAAGGTATATTCGATAGGAGGTAACACAGTCCGTGAGAGCTGGCAAACGGAGAGCTGGACTGCCGTTCATTGTATCAAATATAACTTGTGCAGAGCAGATGTGACGCTCGCTCTCTCTCTCGCAAAAGAAATCAACAGTAAATTGTAATAACACTTCTCAGGACGAAGACTGTGTGCGAGCGAGCGAGCGAGCGAGCGTGAGTGTATGTGTGTCAAACAATGTGCGTGCCTGAAGTTTTTACTTTTGGTTTTGCTTTTGTTTTTTGCGGTGAGGGGTCCGTCCCCCGCTCAACGCCTCCCACTCCAACATTCTTGCTAAATAAAAATGTAATTAATGTAAAATAAAATCAAATAAAACACAGCAACAGCAACAACAACAACAATAGGAATAGTGTGGGCCCCGGCCAGTGTTGGGAAGTGAAAGTGAAATGCAAAACGTGTGAAAAACGCATGAAACGAAACTCCTTTTGCGGGGGCTTTCTCTGTTTGTTTGTTTGTGTGCCCTGCAGCCGAGCCGAATAAAACGCGTATATAAAAATAGAAATACTGCACTCACGTTCAACGATTACATAAAGTGGCAACATCATCATTTAAAACACATCGACAACACACATACAATACAACAAAGGAAACAACAATTGAAACAAACTAAAAAGTAAACAAAAAAAATTAAAGGAAAACTTTTAAAGGTAAAATCGAACAAATGCTAAAGAGAAAGTCAGAGTAAGAGTCAGAGAGAGAGAGGGGGAAAAAGCTTGCTTTTTGCATGAGTGTTTGTGCAACCGACAACAACCACAACACAACTCATGTGTTGTGGCATGGTGTGCGGCATAGTGTGGTGTGGCACGAGGATTGGGCCATAAATTAGCTCTTGATGTGCACTTAACTAGGCGGCCACACTTTTCGTTCGCTTTCGTGCGAGAGCAAACAAAGAGTAGTAGCTGGCTGTGGCATGTGGTCGAAGGAAGCACCGTCAGTGGGGGGGAGGGCACAGCCAAATTTGTAGCACAACTTTGGGGGCCACAAATGGCAGAGAGAACTCTGCTTTTTCCCTTTTATGGGGCAACTTTAAAGCCAACCGCTGGTCACGCCCAAAAAAAAAAAAACAGCAGCACGGAAACAACAACAGGAACCCCTAGTACTTTCCCCTTGGGGTCAGGCCCCCTTTCCAATCCGCGACCCTCTCATAAAATTGTAAGCCAGCAACACATTGTTTAATGCCTTTGTGGGCCTACTCTTCTCTTATTGTTGTAATAAAAATATTTTTGACGATTTGTGTGTGTAAAGTAAACAGGGATGCAGGTGAGGATTGTAGGTAGGAGATCTTCTATGGCATCTCGGGCGCCTAATGGCTTCTGGGCCAACGTACCGTAGCCCACGCTTCACCCTCACCCTCACGACACCGCCCACAGCAAATTTCCGCCAGCAAACATCACCTGCCTGCCAACACAGTGGAGTGGTGGGTAGAGTGGGTAGAGCAGGGGGCAAACTTGATATTGAATATTTTATGGGCGCCTTCATCTAACGTTTTTGCCATTTTTGCCCGTCCGTCAGTGGCTGGCGCTCGCAGCGTGCTCAGACGTGTCAAGAAGTTTGTAAAACACAACAGGAAGAAGGCCTACAGCAACGCCAGCAACAATGGCAGGAGGAACATCAAGAAGAACAGCCGACAGACACAAAGCACTGAGCAGCTTCCAAGCATGTCCTCATTTACCCACCCACCAGCCCAGAAATTCCCACACCACGCCACTACCCCACTACACCACTACTCCACTGCCCACGCAACCTCATTGCTTTCTGTTGTGCGCCCATTTATCAATTCTTGTATCTTACCTTGTGCGAGCATCGAGTAAGTACTCACATACATACATACATATGAAGGGATACCGGAATAATGTGTGTATGTGTGTGTGCTTGGCGCCCATAATGTTAATTAACTTTATCTTTTTAAGCTTCAAGTCTTAAAGCGGCCTCGTCTCAGGCCCTTGTCTCAATCAGCTCTTGGTCTCGGCATTTGTCTGTCGCTCTCTTCTACGCCGTTTCCTTCCCACCTTTGTGGGTGTGTTTATCTCTTACGTTACGCACAAATACGTAATGTGAGTAAGTCGTTACGTATGTGCATGTGTGCACGAGTATGTATGTATGTAGTGTGTATGGTACCGTTAGTGAGCAGCGCTCGTAAGCTGCTGGGGATTAGCGCGTTGCCAATTACCGTTACATGACACGAAGAGCAATTGCGGCGTCCATGGGATAAAGACCTAAGAGAACAGATTTAATTTACTTTTGCTCCTTCAGCTGCTTTGCTTTGCTTTGGGATGGTTTGGGATGGGATGGAGGCATTATATAACTAAAAATCTCTCCACTAGCACATGTATTTCTCCAAACTCTCTAACCGCTATGTATATCTCTCCCTCTTTTTTTTTCCAAACAGACGCATCACAAAATGTAAAGCAATAATCAGCACAAAAGCCAGCAAAAGCTTACAATAGAAGTAGAAGAAGAAGAAGCACCACCCAACACCGCTCGGCTCAGCTTGCGGGGAGGAGAGTGCTGGGCAGGAGGAGTAGGAGAGCAGTGGATTGGATTGGACTGGATTGGGGCAGCAGCAGTAGCAGCAGCAGCCGCAGCGATGCCAAATGCCATTATTGGAAACTGTCGTAGTCATAAGATTTGCATACTATAGCAATAGTAGTAGCATCATGAAAAGCACCAGCGTGATAAGCACTACAACAACAGCAACAAAAGCAACAAAAGCAACAACAGCAACAACAACAACAACAATCATAGGAGAAATAGCAACAAAATGGTTAACAAAGGGAACGGTGACAATATTTAACGGTAAACGAAGCGATCCGCATGCATGAAAAGTGAGAGTGAGATAGTGAGAGATATACATATGTATATGTATGTATTCAAAGAAGAGCTTTGAGGGGAGAGAGACAGACATGCAGCTGCGCTGAGGACATAGGATATATAGATATATATAGCACATAGGACACAGGATACAGGATACAGGAGAGCATCAGCAGCAACAGCAACAACCGCCAGAGCCGCAGAACAACCAAAACGACGACAATCAGTCAAGATGAGTGATGATCAAGCCGGGGCCAATGATGAAAAAGGTGAGTCTGAAATATTAAGCTGCACCTATTGATAGCCCCAAACCCCACCACTCCCAATCCACATACTAACAATCTACACATCCCCACCGGCCACATAAACGTTATGCTCGGGGTGGGCAGGGCAGGTGGATGGGCCATCAAATCTGGATACGATACGAGGGCATGCATACGAAAGGAGGGCCAAAGGCGAGGGCAGGGCCAAAGGCTGCTTCCTCCTCTGACACTCTGACAGCGACACCTGCACGCCAACTCAGCAAAACATGCGGCACAGTGGTCGTCATCATCATCAGAATAGAATGTTAGACGATATCATTCGCCGAAAAGGGCCTTTTCCTGGGGCTGTTCGCTCAGACGCCAACCACTGTGCCAGGAGGTAGAGATTGGAGATTCAGCAGAAGGAGCAGAAGGAATTTGTTCTTTGTGCGTGTTGCCTTTTCCTTTTTGGGGGCTCCTGCTCGGCCAGTGCTCATCAACATAATTAAATAGCATTGCTGGCTGTGTGTGCCCTTGCTTCGGCACGAGTCTGGCTTCTGCTTCTGCTCCTGCTTTTGCTGCTTCTATGTCTGGGCCGATAAAATGTGGATCGAAGCAGCTTAATGGCGGCCAAGACTTGTGCACTGGACCCGACCCTAAGGCCGGCGCCATTTAAATAAATGATAAACAAATCGAAAATGGGAAGCACTTCCCCCTCCAGCCACCGGATAAACTTTCGACTGATGACTGGCCATAAGTTACGCAACCGTTTTCCACAGGCAGAAACAGGCCCAGGCCCAGGCCGAGGCAGAGGCGCAGGCACAGGGACGGGGACAGACAAATTGTCCTCTCGCTGGATTGGGTGGGTGGTGGGTAGGCGATATGGGGACGGGACCATTGTAAGTGGGGGATATCCATGGGGGGGAGGGTTAACAATGCCAACTGCGGATTACGAATATGAACGGAAACGGAAACTAATTAAATATGTAGAGCAATGGCTGCATCTGCCTTTATCCTCCTCCTCTGGCCCATTCTTTTTATTCGTTTCGTTTCGTTTCGTTTCGCTTTGGTCTGTTGTCAGTTTCAGTTTACCTTGTGCCGCATTCTTTTCCTCATTGTCCGCCTCGAATTGGATTCGCATGGGGCCAGAAAGCGCGCCCCATAGAAATCAGCATCCATCCCCATGGAGGAAAATGCGTCAGCAGTCTGTAGTCTCCCTTCATCACCCATTTTTCATCTCCAATCCCAATCGCATTCCCATTTCCCGTCACCATTGAACTTGTGCATAGGTCTGACCAATTGCAACTGCAACGTGCCACCACAAACCCCAGCCCCCCCCCCCCCCCCCCGCGGTTGCTTAGATGAAAGTAATTTTGTGAAAATCCAAAAGACTGGCTACTTTCTGTGTGTGTGCGTATTTTTCTCTGTGTTGGTGGGCCCTGGGAGACTTAATGATTGAATTATAATTGCCCCAGCAGCCTGTGGGCTCCCATCTTCAATCTTAAATCCGATTAGAAACTCCAATTCCAAGCTCAGTGCCATTTCCCTTCAACATGGACTTGGACTGAAAGTTAATAACCTTACTTCCGTATGAAGATGCGTGAAGCATCTATCTCTCCTCTCTGTGGTTTAATCTCAGTCCAAATTCCAATCTCAAGACCATTTCCCGTCACAAAGGACTTTTGCTAAACTCTGCGCAGTTGCAACGGCAGCTGCATCGTCACCCCATTTTGCGGTTTCTTAGATAAAATTGATTTTGGGGAATATTGAAAGACTTGACTACCATCGTGTCTGTGCGTAATTGCCTGTTTTGTTTCTGGGCCCTTTGAGTCTAATCATTGGGAATAATTGCCCCAGCAGTCTGTGGTCTCCCTCTCTACTCTTCACCTACCTAGCTTCAATCTTGCATTTGAATACTAATTCAATCCTAATTCCAATCTCAATAAGCATCTATCAACGTGGAGCAACAACTCTGCTTTCTGTGGTTTAATCTCAGCTCAAATTCCAATCTCACTACCATTTCCCGTCACAAAGGACTTTTGCATTGGTTTGCGCAGTTGCAACTCCCGCCACTTTCGACCCCCTTTTTTGCGGTTTCTTAGATGCAACTGGAATTTTTGGAAAACCAAAGGACCTGCTGCCTGTTCTTCTGCTTTAGTGCGTGATTTCCGTTTTGTTCTTGGGCTGCAGTTTGGCTGCAGTTTTCAGTTGCATAGAAAGTGCATCTCCTCTCCATGGCGTAGACATAATTGCACCACAGCCTGCAGTCTCATCCATCTCCAATCCCAATCGTATTGCCATTTCCTGTCACCATTGAACTTGTGCAAAGGTCTGCGCAGCTGCAACGGCACCAGCAGAGGCAACTGCAACGTGCCACCACTCCCGACACCGCCTCCCCCACCCCCTACGCCTTTTGCGGTTGGTTAGATGCAACTGGTTTTTTGGGAAAACCAAAAGACTGGCCGCTTTCTGTGTCTGTGTGTAATTTCCTTTTTGTTTTTGGCCCCCTTGAGAATGGCTTTGCTTCCGCATGAAGATGCGGCAAGCGCTCCGACCTGGTGGGACCATTATGCAATACGGGGAAGATGCGTTTTTGTTGCATATAATGTTAATGTACGAACGCCAACCGGTTGCCTCGGCAACCCGTCATCATCAACATCATCATCATCATGAGCATCGTGGCCCTCGGTTGGTGGCTTGCCCGAAGATGTAATCCCCATGGAGTGTTGCACGCCCGCTTTCCTGTTAATGAAATGCATTTTCGAATGCCACAGAAAGAGACACAGACACAGTCGCAGACGCAGTCGCAGACGCAGACTCCGATCCGATTTCCAGTCGAACAAATCCCAACAGCACCAGCAACATCATTATGATTATGACTATCATTGTCATTATCATTTGATTGGCAACAGCTGGTTGCGTTGGCGTCGCTCTGGTGGCACTACTACTACTACTACTACTACTGGTTCCTTATGTAAGCATCCATCCAAAACATTGAGGTGCCATTCCATGCCACGCTTTTGTTTACAAATTTGACTGAATTTAAATGTCTATTAATTGGTTTGGCAATATGAATGGGGACCGATGAGGAGATGAAAGATGGAGAGATGGAGGATGAGGCAGAGGCATGTTAATCAACTGTCGGGTGTTCGTAATCGAAATTGCCATATGGCCCCGTTTCCGATGAAAATTGCAGCCCCGCGTCACTCCCCCCACCCACCAACTCATGCCAATGCTAATGAAAACTGTAGCTAATCAGCGGCGAAAGCAAAACAATGCCCAGGGAAGGGATAGCGAACGGGACGCAGGGCGTCCGTCCAATGCGGCCACTGGCCACTGGCCATGACCTCGCCTCTCCGCTGATGTAAGAGCGAGATGATGAGCGAGCAAAAAAGCTTACGGTACTTTTTGTTTTCTGTTTCGCCAGTGTTGCAGCGCCCCCGAGCATGACAAGATAGTTTTCTGATGCTGGCGCTGGGGATTCGCTGCAGGCGAAGCTTAACCCAATAACGAGACGGCGAGTGGCGGCGGCGGGAGTCAGAGGGAGGGGCTCTCAACGGCAAAGAAGAAGTTACAGACAATGACCTAACCCAATAAACCATAAATAGAACAAAACCTGTTATTGTGTGTTGAAGAGAGTGGAGTGCAAGAGGACGTGGGAGTGGGAGATGGATGGCGAGAGAAATGCTTTCGCTCCAGCATGCCAGCAACAGAGTAAACAATGTTATCGGGTTAATTTCCGGCACGGGAATGGCCATCAATGGGTTAATGACAAGCGACGACCAGCAGCAACCTCCAGGCAGGCAGGCAGACCCTTGGCTTGGCCAATCCGTTATGTTATGCAAGTGCCCAGACATCATCCAACAACAAGGAATTGCCAATAGGAAGTTCGTATCGCATTGTATCTGCATAAGCATGCACAAGCCATACATAAACATGAACGAAAACTACATAACTAACGGTTAACAGCCACCACACCACTGGCTGGGCCGGCCCTGGGCCACGACTTGGACTGAGACTAAAACTGGATCTGGAATTTCGATGATTATTAACGTTTTTCGGCAGCGAACCCAATAATAGGCAGAGCCGGCTTAGGGCTATTCGAATTTTCTCCCCGATCCAACGAAAGTGGAGCACAACAGAGGCAAAGCAAAGTTCGGTGCGAGAGCAGCATTAGATGGAGATGGAGATTGAGAGTGAGAGTGAGAGATAGAGAGTTTTGGCAAAAGGGCAGTCAATGATGGCAATGATGATGATGAGGCTGATGTGAAAGGTCAACACTCTCGCCGATCGCCCAGAGAGGCAGAAAGTGGGTAGTGGGGAGAGTGGAGAGAAAGAAAAGGTAAAACGAAACAATGTGGCCTTCAATGGGTCGTGCTTGTTGGTGGTAGCTCTGCCCCAGCTTCAGCTTCAGCTCCATCTCCAGCCCCCTGCCTATGCCACAAGTTCAGTTGAGCTCGTCATCAGAGAGATTATCGCCTGCACTTGCCACAGCGACCGTCGCGCCGCACCACTTACATAACCTCAACTCCAGAGCTGGAGAGCGCTCTGCTCGAAGCGCGCGTATAAAACGGCGCGCAGAGACGATTGCCGAATCATTTCCAGTCACATAGTTCGTAGCCCAGCAGCCGGCGAGCTACAATCCCAATCCTTGGCAACTTTCGACATCAGGAGAAATGGCAGCTTGTTTTATTGTGAGTTGGCGGTGTACTCCACTCACCTGCGATCGAATGCGGATCCTAATAGTGTAATCTTTCCCTTCCCCTGTCTAGCTGAGCGCGCTCTTGCTGGCCAGTCCGGCGGTGTGGGGCAAGCCCTCGTTTGGACGGGAGCACGTCCACATTCGCATCCACCTGCCCGAGAGTGGCGGAGATCATGGTGATCATCACGGAGGCGGTGGCGGCGGCGGAGGAGGCTATGAGATTCACTCCCATGACGGTGGCCATGGAGGCGGTGGCGGCGGAGGAGGAGGCTATGAGATTCACTCCCATGACAGTGGCCATGGAGGCCATGGAGGCGGTGGCGGCGGAGCCCACGTCAGTACCTATGCCATAATCACCGAGAACCACGGAGGATCTGGTGGCTACAGCTCTGGTGGACACAGTTCCGGAGGCTATAGCTCAGGAGGTGGCTACAGCGCTGGAGGACATGGCTCTGGCGGACACGATGATGCTCAGATTGCGGCCATCGCAGCTGCTGCTGGCTCATCCTCCCACGGCTCGTCGGGTGGTGGCGGATACAGCTCAGGTGGACACAGTTCCGGAGGCTATAGCTCAGGAGGTGGCTACAGCTCAGGAGGACATGGCTCTGGCGGACACGATGACGCTCAGATTGCAGCCATCGCAGCTGCTGCTGGCTCATCCTCCCACGGCTCTTCGGGTGGTGGCGGATACAGCAGCGGAGGATACAGCTCGGGAGGCTATAGCTCAGGAGGTGGCTACAGCTCTGGCGGACACGACTCTGGCCATGGCATCGCCAACATTGCGGCGATTGCAGCCAGCTCTGATACCTCCTCTCACGGCTCTTCGGGTGGTGGCGGATACAGCAGCGGGGGATACAGTTCCGGAGGCTATAGCTCAGGAGGTGGCTACAGTTCCGGCGGACACGATGATGCCCAGGTTGTGGCCATTACATCCGGCGCGGGCTCTGGCGCTGGAGGATACAATAGCGGAGGCTACAGCTCGGGAGGCTATAGCTCAGGAGGAGGCGGCTACAGTTCCGGCGGACACGGCTCTGGGGGCTACAGCTCCGGCGGAGGAAGCAGCTACGATAGCCAGGTGGTGACTGCTGCTGTCGCTTCCAGCGGAGGATATGGCGGTGGCTCTCATGGCGGAGCCTCCTCCGGCGGTGGAGACGGTTACAATTACTCGCCCCCAGCCGTCGGTGGCTGGTCGGGATCGGCCTCCAACTGGTCTTAGGCTCCGTTCCCCAGCATTGGCCGTCCGGCCATCTAGTCTATTGCTCATTCCCACAAGTTCGCCCGACTCCATTGGACTTTTAACTTATAATACTCATTTGGCATGTTCGCTCATCCACATTCCACATGTCCACATCCGAAGGGGGCACCGCTCCCTCCTTCTGCCGCTCCACAACGTTGCCGATGTACAAAATAAATCATGTTAGTGTAATAATTTAAACCTTTGCCGTGTGTCTCCCTCCCGTGTCTTTGTCTGTTTCTGTCAGCTGTGGGATGGGATGCTTGGGGCTAACAATCGACACAGAGTGGGGCTGCTGGCATGGGCAGCCACATGGGCATCTTTATTAGGTCCAACTGGCCTTCTTGGGTTCGGCCCTCTTGGCCAGCTCATCCTTCACACGCTTCTCTTCCCGGTCCTGCGCGGGCTGGATGACGAAGCGGTTAATGTAGTCGTAGATGGTGAAGTAGAAGGCACTGGATATGCCGGACTTGAGGAGCGTGGGGCTAACGCCCTTGTAAAATCCGGAGACGCCCTCATCCTTCAGGGTGTTTATGAAGCATTGCTTTGCCGACGGACAAACGGGATTCCGACCGAACGTCTGGCGATCCTGCTGAAAGCCATGCAGCTGAATGCGCTTCTTCATCAGATCTGCAGGATACACCAGTAACTTGGACGCCACTCCGGCTAGGGCTCCATTGAGGAAGAGAAAGAAGCCGGGAATGTTGTGATCGGGATTCGACTTCTTGACGATAAACAGGACAAGGGCGTTGAGGTACTTGTAGATGAGGAAATTGGCCCCCACCAGCGGAAAGATCTGCACCAGGGTAAAGATTATGCCACGGGACAAGCCTCGCATTCCTTCAGTTGCGTGCACAAAGCGCACACCTCTCAGGGAACCCATTCGACTCCTCTTGCTGCTTGGATCGGCGGCCACCACTTGAGTGCGGATCACGTCAAAGGGCTGGGCCACCACGGTGCCCAGACAGCCGGCCAATCCACCACACAGAAAGTACAAGAGCATCGGTCGGTCGTCGAAGAAGGCTATCTTGTGGGCCTTGACCCGGAGCTGCTCGTAGGACCAAAACTGCACCACTGCATAGGTAATGCTCAGTACCTGGCCGGAGTTGTGACCACGCCAGATTCCCCGCAGTCCCTCCTCTTTGTAAATGTTACCAAAGGCGTGCAGCAGACCCTGGTACTTGGACCATTGTTCGTGCTTGCCCACTGGCTCCACTTGCATCTGGAAGCGAATCTTTATCACGTCGAACGGCTGCACCAAGGCCCTCGTCAAGCCCCCGGCGACACCGCCGCCTAAGGCCTGCAGCACCTGTATGAACGCCGTATTATCACTCATATTGCTGGAATGAAGAGGTGGAAAGGGCGGGTGATTAGCTAAACTGGGCGGGATGGGGTGTGGCACTAGTGCCAGTCCATTCTCAACCAAACCACTGTACACCACTGATCATCATCTTTGTGCTTCGTCTCTTTGCAGCTATTGCCAAACACCAGGTCGTTGCCTACACGCAGAGGTCGCAGGTCAAGCACGAGAACCGGCACATCCAGCTGGTGCGTGAGTACGGCTTCCACCCACGCACCAAAGCCTCCGTGGAGGATGGCGATGTGCTGCCGCGAAAGTTTGAGCCCTTTCCGGAGGATATGTACGGCAAGCCGCTCGAGGAGATTGACACCTTCATATACGAGGAGGTAAGTGGCTCAGTATCCATTATCCGCATACCCAAAATGTGCCGGGGCCAAGCCATGCGAGGCACTGCTGCCACCCCATTTGGCCTCCATTGCCACTAATTAAAAAGTCACACACAGACGCGACCCAGTCCCAGTCAGAGCCAGGGGCAACAATCGAGGGGTGGTGCGGCGGGTAGGACAGGGGCACGGGCATGGGCAGTACAACTGCAACTGCAAGTGGCACAACGGAAATGGAACGCGACGCGACTTTGGTTTTGTTTTTGTTGCGTTTGCATTTGCATTGTGTGTGCACAAGTGGAAATGCACTTTTTCCTGGCAAGCGGCCAGGGGCCAGGGGCCAGGGGGCGAGGGGCGGGGGTTAATGGAAACGCCTAGAACGACCCTCGTGGCCCTCTCGAAAGCCGAAAAGGAAATCAGCGTAAATGCCGTCGCGGCGGGCTCGTTAAATTTCAAAAGTGAGAATAAATTTTTGGAACTACGGCAAACAATGAACCAAACACACACACACACTCGCACTCACACACTGGCATGTACTTTACTGGCAGGAATATGGGTCATGACATGCACGGGGTACGGACTTCGGGAGGGACTCTGGGGCAGAGGCAAAGTTGACAGCCGTATTTACGTGACTCAAACAAAACTGGCCAACACAGCCGCAGCAGCCCGCAAAAGGACAAATTATAGACGAACATGCAAGTGTACTCAAGACTTGGCGGCTTTTCATGCCACGTGTCGTGGCGCAATATTTTTTCAAATAACGGCACATACATAGACGGGGCCTGGCAAAATAAACATGCAAGTGACCAGGATGTGAGATGAGCCGGCGCCGCCACCGCCGCCACCAGCTGTGTCCAAGTATTACCTGACATCGAGTGATGTTCCTTATCGATTGGGCCGAGTACTCGCAAGACAAGTGAAACGCAAACAATCTGGTAATCTATAATTAAATCTTATTGTTTGCCCAAAGCTTGGTCAACCAAAAGTTAATAACGAACAATGGTTGATCCAGTGACTGGAAGACCAGACCATCTATGTCGTGACTATAAAATCACTGCACTGGCTCATCTCTGTTTAGAACATGTGCCGCAATGTTGCCGGACATTTACACGCATCCATTGGCAACGCCAATGCAATGTTTACACATGCACGTACATGCATACATGTTTGTGTGTGTGTTTGTGGGACAGAAAACCTATACAGATGAAAGAAGGAGAGGCGGAGGAGAATCAAAGTGCTTAATTGCATTTAATGGGACACTCTTTATGCAAGTGGCAAGTGCCGGCCAGGCAAAGCAAACAACTGAACTGCCTTTCCTTGCCTCACTTCGCAAACGATGGCGACGACAGTTGTCTGCTCCAGTGATAAGACACAGACACAGTTACAGCCACAGCTACAGACACCGCATGTTTGCCCGAACAAGACCCTACACAACTTTTCATGTTGTGCACTTAAAAGTACACATGCTTATCCTCCACAGCTCAGCTCCACTCGCCACCCGTGCCACATCCATTGCTTAGAATGGAAGGGCAGGGCGGGATGTGGGGTGGAAGGGACGACGACGACGACAGCGTAACCAAAGGCGCATGCAAATTTACAGAAAAGGCACACAAAATGGTAAATGGCAAACTGCCACCCAATCGTAATTTTTGCTTGTTACATTAAAATTTCTGCTTACTCGGCTGAGCGACGTTTATGAGTGTATTACAGTGACAAACGACCTTCAGAATAGTGGGGGAGTGGCGGGCAGATAGACAGACAGAAACATCATCCTTAGCATGGAAAACATGCAGGCGGGCGGCGGCGGCGGCAAGCGGCTATGACTGACACATCTGCATATATAATTGAAGAAATCAAGGCGCTAATGAACAACACGGCTCGGCTGCCGCTCGCTCTGGTTTCCTTCTGCGGCAAACAAATCGATATTTCCGAATGGTGCCCAAGGAGGAGAACGGAACGGAGCGCAGGCAGCCCGGGCCAATCTGACGAGCGCACGACACGCGCTCCCAAGGGGCTATGGTGGGCGGCGCGGACAAGCAACAGCAGCCCATGGTCTGAATAATTGTATTAGCCGATTAAGTGGAAAGTTACTGCCTTGGCCGTGAGCATGATGATCAATCTTTAATGTGGTCAGTCGGTCGGTCGGTGCGTCGGATTGGTCTTGGTATTTGGCGTTGACCGCCAACCGCTACTCACTCTCACTAATCTTCTTGGTTCAAGCGACCACACGCTCTCCAGTTTTCTGCCGGCACCGCGTCATTAACATCCAAACTTTGGCCAAAACTGCTTGATAATCCAAGATGAACTGAATTCAACAATAATCAAAATGTCGAAAGCAAAGTATTACATTTTAGACAAAACGTGCCCTGTGCACAAAAACACACACATACACATGACATACAAATGTGGTTAGGTTGAGGCAGCACGCTGGATGCTCAGGCTTGTGTTCTTTTTTTTTCTACCACTCTTATTAAGAACACATGAGCAAATTCAGTTGGAACTTTTGTGAAAATCCAGTAATTTATTAGAATCAATTTAAACGTGAAATTCGGAAGTGTATTTTAAATGCACATTTTCTTGTTCTGCGTGAAAACTGTTTTTGCAAAATTACTTTTCGGGCCTCAATGTGGTGCCCAGACGGCATGTTTCAGTAGTAGTGTGCTTGCAAGTCAAAAGTTCCTGAAACGAGCAGAAAACGGCAAATTAGTATGTTGCGTGTCGCTAGGGCTCCTCTGGCCAAGTGGGTGGTTACTTACCATTCAGTGGTCGACGGTGCTGTGCTGCGCCTACTTGGAACGTGCACGCATCTTTCTGCGCTTACGCTTCAACCTACGCATACGCTTCTTACGCCACTGAAAACGAGATAAAAACACAATTAAATTGCAGTCTAAATCTGCATCCACTTTCACTGATGCTCAAATATAAGTATTTTTTCACTTATTGCAATCTTAGTCTTTTCTAGTTCACTTGGTATTGAGAAAATTACCTTAGCTCTCATTTTCCTTCTGGTCGGTTTGACGGGTCGAGAACGAAAGAACGATTGTGTAGCGGAAGTTTGGCTCGAAGGCTAGCGTTTTCTTTGACAGCGCAAATATCGAGTAGTTCTTTGACAGCCGGCTAAATATCGAGTCCAAGGTTGATTTCGGGAATATATCTATTGATATTGTTGTGCGATAGGCGGTAACCATTGCTATGGCTCTATGGGCGGTAAACGTAAAAATAGGAAACTGTCGTATGAAATGCTAATATTTCGCTACACTATTATAGCCGTATGCGATTTTTATTTGTATATATTTTTTCGTCTATTTTGCATATTTTATTAATACATTTTGTAACCATCATTTACAGTTCTATTATAATTATGATTTACTTGATTTGTCAAAATTTTGCGGAAACCAACTATGTTTTGTCAACGTTTATTTTATCCGCCACACCACTAAAACAGAATTAGGAATATATTGATTTTAAGATTTTGAAAAAATCTATCAGCTCTGGAACGATTGTGAGCGGAAGTAGTTCTGACAGTGTGAATATTGAGTAGAATCGGACAAATATCGAGACCAAGGTTGATATTTTTGTTAATCGATACTTAGGTGCGATAAGCGGAATTAAAATTTATTCGATGGTTTTGCAGCCCTGGTTCCAACTGTTTTGATACGGGTATTTTCAAATTCCGTACATAAAAATATTCTTTCCCTATTTCAGACATTCTGTGTGGTTTCGAAACGCTTCCGCAAGAACTACATCCATCGTTTCACAGGCACCAAGAGCCTGTTCCTCTTCCATCCATGGAGTCCAGCGCGGCGTGTGTGCGTCTATATCGCAACGAACCAATTCTTCGACTACTGCGTCATGGCCACAATTCTGTTCAACTGCATTTTCCTAGCCATGACCGAAACGGTGGAGGAGGCTGAGTAAGTACCTAAAGAGCTTTCCCCTTCATAACTTCACTTTTGCTAATCCACCCCCAGGTACATCTTCCTTGCCATTTACTCCATCGAAATGGTAATCAAAATCATTGCCAAAGGCTTTCTGCTCAACAAGTACACCTATCTGCGCAACCCATGGAATTGGCTGGACTTTGTGGTCATAACTAGTGGCTATGCCACCATTGGCATGGAGGTTGGCAACCTGGCGGGGCTGCGAACCTTTCGCGTGTTGCGCGCCCTCAAGACGGTTTCCATCATGCCCGGACTGAAGACAATTATCAACGCGTTGCTTCACTCCTTCCGTCAACTGGCGGAGGTCATGACGCTCACCATCTTCTGTCTGATGGTCTTTGCCCTCTTTGCACTGCAGGTCTATATGGGCGAGCTGCGCAACAAGTGTGTGCGCCAGGTGCCCTCCGAGTGGACCAACGTCTCCCATCTCGACTGGCATATGTATGTGGGGACTCCCATTTCATGGTTAAATGCGAATGCTAATTGAAAGAATGTCCCTTTCAGGTGGGTCAACGACACGGACAACTGGCTGTACGACGATGAGGAGATGCCCATGCTTTGTGGCAACCTGACGGGCGCCCGTCACTGCCCGCTCGGCTATGTGTGCATCTGCGTCGGCGAGAATCCCAATCATGGCTACACCAACTTTGACAATTTCATGTGGTCGATGCTAACGACCTTTCAGCTGATTACACTGGACTACTGGGAGAACGTCTACAATATGGTCAGTGTAATCTTTGCTTTCATCGTCAGGACGATCTAATCAATGTCCCCTTCCTCCTTCCGCAGGTGCTGGCAACTTGTGGTCCAATGAGTGTCATATTTTTTACGGTGGTTGTGTTTTTTGGCTCATTTTACTTGATCAACCTGATGCTAGCCGTAGTCGCGCTAAGCTACGAGGAGGAGGCGGAGATAACAAACGAGGTGAGTGCCTCTTTGGTGACTCTTTCCCGCGCCCTGATCCTCTCATCGAACCGCTTTATTCTCTTGCAGGAGCGGAAAAAGGACTTGCTGGACCATCGCGAGGATTCCACGTTCAGCTTTGATCCGTCCGTGCTGAATGTGAAGAAATTGAACAAGAACAACAAGAAGAAGATCGACTCCCGGAAGGGCGTCCTCCTGGCCTCGTACAGCAAGAAGAAGACGCGCCGAAAAAAGACCAAAGGCGGAAAAGAAACGAATGGCAATGGGAATGGCAATGGGAACGGAAACGGCAGCAATGGCAATGACAATGATGCCAACAAATCCCATTCCGCAACGCCCAGCCCGGGACCAAGTCCACGTCACAGTGCGACAGAGCGTCCATCGGCCCTCACGCTGCAGGCTCAGAAGCAATACCAGCAGATGGAACAGCAGCAGCATCAGCTGGCCAAGGAGCCCGCGGCTGCTACAGCCAAGAACCGCATTAGCTTCCATGAGGAGCCGCAGAAGAACCCCAATATGCTGTATCCCTCGGACTACAAGGGCCAGCTCATCGCCAGCAGCCGTCAGGCGAGCTCCAATTCGAGTGGCGTCAATCGCGAATCCTCACAGGATGACTCCGGCGTGGTCGACGATCACGAGGAGCAGGATCCGGCCCACGAGCTGGGTCACGTGTCCACCGTGGAGCTGGCCCTATCCCCGCGTGAAGTGCGCCTTATCAAGTGCAACGGGAACATAGCCCGCATAAAGAATCACAATGTTTATGCCCTACATCAGGAGTTTTCCTCGGAGGTGGTGGTTATCGGTGAGTTCTCTCTACGAACTCTTTGTATAATAGAAATTTTAATTGATTTAATTTGCCCCTCTCAGATGATCTTCCCGACCGCAACTGCGATCGCTGTGTCCACTGCTGCGCCGACTACGAGAGCTGGCTGCAGTTCCAGAACTGCCTCTACAAGGTGGTGAGGGATCCACTCTTCGAGCTGGCCATCACGCTGTGCATTGTGCTGAACACCGCCTTCCTGGCCATGGAGCATCACGGCATGAGCGAGAGCTTTCGCAATGCCCTGGATGTGGGAAATAAGGCAAGTGGACCAAGAATCCAAGACCAAATTACTAAATTCACTAAAATCTTTTCTTTTCCACAGGTTTTCACGTCCATTTTCACCTTTGAGTGCATTGTGAAGCTGATGGCCCTGTCCAAGGAATTTTTTCTGTGCGGCTGGAATATATTCGACCTGCTCATTGTCACGGCCAGTCTGCTGGACATCATCTTCGAGCTGGTCGATGGCCTGAGTGTCTTGCGGGGACTGCGACTGGTACTGCGAACCTCCGATATGAAATCGAAATACATAAATTAAATGTCTAACCTTTGCTCCGCTTGCAGCTGCGTGTGCTGAAGCTGGCCCAGTCGTGGACCACAATGAAGGTGCTGCTGAGCATTATCATATCGACAATTGGGGCGCTGGGTAACCTCACGCTGATCTTGGTCATAGTCATCTACATATTTGCCGTCATTGGCATGCAATTGTTCTCCAAAGACTACACGCCCGAAAAGTTTGACCCAGACCCAGTGCCAAGGCAAGACTTGAGCTATTTCTTTACACACTCGTTTATTGTCTTATCTTCGTTTTTGATCTTCGTTTGCAGATGGAACTTCAATGACTTCTTTCACTCATTCATGATGATCTTTCGGATATTGTGCGGGGAATGGATCGAGCCGCTCTGGGACTGTATGCGTGCCGAAGAGGAGGTTTGTAGACAGACAGCTTGGCAAACGGATGCACAGATTGTATACTGATCATATCTTGCAGCAAGGGGCCTCCACATGCTTTGCCATATTTCTGCCAACCTTGGTCATGGGAAACTTCATGGTGCTCAACTTGTTCTTGGCCTTGTTGCTCAACAGCTTCAATTCCGAGGAGCTCAAGTCGAAGAAAGAGGCAAGTCACAGGCTCCGCGCCCGCACCATTTTTTTATGTTTCTAAACGTTTGTGAATGTAAATGTCGTATGTCTTGGTGTGTACCAGCAAAAGTTACTTAAACAATTTAACAACTAAACGTGAATAGCTCCGGAATGGACAGGAGAGGAATCATTTCTCTTCTCGTCATAAAATCCAATCCATTAAAAGAATATTTATGTGTGTTTACTCAGACGAACGCTGGCTAGATCGTTTCCTAAATGTTTTATTTGCACTTTGATGTGATTTCCGGTAACTCTATTTGATCCTTCATCTGTGTGTTTGTGTGTGTGTATGAGTGTGTTATCTTAGCCTTCATCGTATTTATCGCCCGATGGCACCACACAATTGAACCAATTATATCATACACACCATACGATCGGGCACTCCACTCTTCTGTTCGGACAAGCAAATTCTATTCTACGTTTCACTCTTTTGGCCAGAAATTTCCCATTAAAAACCATCACACTCTGCATTACGTTACTAACTGTGCTAAATGTTTGTATTCTACTAAACTTGAAACTAATTTTGATCCTTTAAATAAGACCCAGCACAAGGTTTATTGACTGTTGCCTTTTGCCTCTTGCCTTTTGTTGGGGCTCTACAGTTCGGCTCTGTTCGAATTTTGTTGTTGTGCGTGTGTATGGGGTTTGTTCGGGTCTTTACCATTAACTTTACCATTTCGTATACTGAACAGACCCACATACGCGTACGCGTACTCGTACTTGTACTCTTATCTAGTACCTATCTATGTATGTCTCTTGTCTAAGTATCAATGTTAAAACATTCTATGAAATGCACTGAATAACCTACCTAATCGAATTAACCGAATCTTCTGTTGTCAACTTTGCACCATGCGTTTAATCTTAATCTTAACTACTTACCACACAAAATACACCTACACCCGAAAACCTGAAAACCAAATCCAAAAACTCAAAAAAACTCAAAAAACTGAAACAATTTAAATACACAAAAAAAAAAACACCGTTAACAGATATTCAAGAAGAAGGTAATTTTTACTAACTAAATCATTTTAACTTGCTTTAAACTTGCTTGCTTCGTTTAAGTTAGCCAAACTGTAATCTAAATCCCAACCAAATAAATGTGTATATACTTCTAGAGTAGCCCAAAAGCTGATCAGGCAATATATATATATATATATTATATACCTACAAATATATGTGATAATCTTTTGTGTTGCCTGCCCTTAACCCTTACTTTTGTATGATGTATTGGAACCCCCCAATTCTGATTGTAACTCCATGTCGATGTATC